TTTAAAAATCAACTTGATTATTTATTGTTGAGACATTAAAGATTTTGTTACCATTGTTTATATATAAATGTTTTTAACTTATCATGTATATTTAGAATCTCATACTACCAAATATATACCAATTGCTATTGGTATCAAGAACAAGGCTAATGGATTTATATTATTTTGCACTGAAGGATTTGAACATGTCATGTGTATAATTGTTTTGGATCATTTTAATGATGTGTTTTGTATATGTATTTTTTTTTGAAAAATTAAATCTAAAATATTATTTTTCTTATTTTTTTAATTTTAAAAGTTGATTTCAATAACTAATTCCAACTTCGTTTTCTAAGTAAGTACATCAACTACTTCCAGAATTGCAACAAAAAAATATCCCAACTTTAAAGTAAAAACTAAATGCACTTCAAAAAAAAAAAATTATAATTTTTGTTGCTTAATTCTCACTTAAATTTAAACAGGCTGCCACAATACACTAACTATTGACTGAGTACACCAAGTTTTGGTAACTTTGGTACCCAAATCCTACACTAACAAGAATGCACAAACTAGTTTACATGTGGGTCATTAACTACAATTATATGGAGCTCCACCAGGACAGTGACAACAACAACAGCAACTGATTTGAAGTTGTTGAGACCACTCCACAAAAACCCTAAAACTTACCAGATGTCAATGTTGATGTCGATGGCTGGAATGGCAACTCAACCCACAACGGAGGAACAGTCAGGAGCTCTCATTGTTAAGCTCGTGCTTCCCACTCTCCAGCTCCATGACTGTGAGAGAGAGAGAGAGAGAGAGGAGGAATGAGCTCAACATGGTGCAGCTATGGAGCACAAGGCACCCACCAAATTGCAGGTTCCTTGCTGCATTCCTTGATGTAAGCTGCAGGAGCTGGGTTTTAGATATCAAGTCCCTTGCTACATACACACTACTAGTTACGGTCCAGTCCAGTCCATGACTGTGTAAAGACACATCAACTGTGAAGAGCACAACACACACACACACAGAGATAGACAGACAAGCAGCAATTGCAGTGTTGGGATCCTCTAAAGTATCCTTCCTTCACTATGTCTCTCTGTAAATGTCAGGAATTCTCATTTGATTTTCCTTCTCCATTCTTTGCCTGTGGTATCAATCTCCCTACTTGAAAGGTAGCACACCTTCAAACTTCCATAGAGTTGGTGGATTCAAACTATGACTTTTAGGTTTCATGTTTTAGAGCATTTTTTTTACATGCTTGATAGAATTGCTTGGTCCTTATATGAAAATTGATTGTGGTTGGATTTTTTTTATTAGTTTGCATGCTAAAAATTTATGAAAAAATCTGAAATATTATTATTTGAGCATATTAAATACATTTAAAATTAAAATAAATAAGTCAAAAAAATTAATAGATGTAAATACTAAAATTTTGTGGTATAAGTTTTTAAGAAATCAAAACACTTTTATTTAAATTATTTTAAATAAATAATAAATTATAATATATTTGTTAAAAACTTAATTTATTTAAACTATCTTTACTATAGACATTCAACAAGAAGATTCTAAAAATATTCTAAAATATTCTATTAAATTTTAAAAGGTTCTAAAAGCTTTTCAAAAGATTTCTAGAAGGTTTTTAGAATATTCTAGCAAGTTCTAAAAAGTTTTGAGATAATTAAGAAAGTTGCTTGAGAAGCTACTTAATGTTGCTTCATTTTCAAGCAATATGGAAATATCTTGAGAAGCTTCCTAAGATTTCTTCATCTTTAAGCAATATGAAAATTTCTTAAGAAGCTTCTTAAGGTTGCTTCATCTTCAAGCAATATGGAAACTTCTTAAGAAGCTTCCTAAGATTGCTTCATCTTTAAGCAATATGAAAATTTCTTAAGAAGCTTCCTAAGATTGCTTCATCTTTAAGCAATATGAAAATTTCTTAAGAAGCTTCCTAAGCTTGCATCATCTTCAAACAACATGAGAACTTCTCAAGGAGCTTCTTAAGGTTGCTTCATCTTCAAGCAACATGGAAACTTCTTGAGAAGCTTTCTAATATCTAATATATATTGGAGTCCAAGCTAAAGATATCCTTAATCTTGACATCTCTTAGAGCTTTAGTTCATCTTTCTTGGTGTTGATCTTGTACTCATTAGATTTAATGAAGATCTTGTTAGCTTTCTTATTGAAACTCTTTTATTCAACTTCTTATTTGGTCTCATGTATAGTATATCTATGACAATCTTTATGTCTTTAATAAACTAAAAGTTATATTTGTATGTCATATACATATAATATTAATATTGTAATATAATAAAAGTAAGATTTATTATGATATAGATATAAATATAAATATAAATAAGTATTATTTATTAGACTATTGTCATATATTTATTATATAAATGATATTAACATCTTTATTAAGTTAAGTAGAAATAATGTTTTTATATAGATTTAAGATTCTATGAGATATCATATTATGTTTTTATAGTTAATAATTGTTTCCTCTTGATATTCATAGATTTTTGTTTATACCTCTACATAAGATATTATTTAGTATTTTAAACTTGCAAAAATATGAGTCATTCATCTTTATGACTTCTTTCACTCAAATATCATAAATTTTAGATATTATCTATTTTTTTTTCTTTGGTGTCATAGATAAAATAGAATGAATGTTAAAAAATATAACAAAATATATTCCTCAAATAGAAGCTTAATAATGTAATTACAAATAAACTAACCACTTAACTAAGAAGGATTTAACAAAATCAACTATATAAAATGAGCCTCTATTTTGGGCTCTTATAGTTTGAATCTACGGTCTAATGAAAAAGACTTTCCAATACAAACACACTAATAACTAGTCCACCAACAAGGTCCATATAACTTGGAGATAATTATCTTGTTAAGTCATTTATCACTACATGGTAATATGATTAATCTATTATGGCTTCAAATTTTTAACCAGTGGTAATCCAATATCAATGCCCACATACTAGTCAAATATATAATATCCAATAAAAATTATTATTAAGGACATGAATCACAAACAATCAAAGAGTTAATATATTCTTGTATTATATATATATATATATATATATATATATATATATTCAAAGATAATATAATATTAGAATATAATGGCTATTTCCAAAGACAAAAAAATCATAAACTCTTGGAACAAGACTATAAACAAGAAAGGAGTCAACAAGAACAAGAAAGGTGTCACTCTTGTTTCTGTATATATACTTTTTAATTAGGAGATATGTGGCAATATTCTATAAGACCTCCTTCATATGTTTAACTTGTAGAATATGTGTTTAATTTACAAATTTTTTTTTTATATGTGCACCATATGACCAACTTCTACCACAAGTCACCAATATGTATGACATGTAGCCAACTTGTTGGTTAAATTTTCAACCTACCAATCACTTTCAAATATGTAAAAAATCAATTCCATATCTATAACGCTTCAAAAAATGCTTCTCCATAGGATATTATTAAATTTACATACTTCTATTTACTTCTATTTCATTTCTTTAATATAAGTAAATATATATGTCCATGACAGTTATATACATATCTAAATATTCAATTATTAATAAAATGTATACAATAACTCTTTACAAATTTGCATATAATTTTATCACTTATGTATCTTTGTAAAAAATATGGATGTTTAATAGAAAGTAATCATATTAGATTCAAGATAGATATAAACTATCTGTAAAAAAAAATAAAATTAAAATATTTTTTATAAATATAAAAATTAAAAAATAGATTATGCATTTAACATCACAGGCTTTTTGGCAAAAAATATAGTTTTTAAAATTTTAAAATTTTAAAGCCAAAAAACAACTATATATAATTTTTTTCTACTTTTCAAAAATAAAAAAATTAAATAAAAAAAAATAAATTAAGATTCTACTCTTGATTATATTTAATAAAAATAAGCAAACTCAAAGACCTAATGCAAACAAAAAGTCAATTGTGATATAGCCTTAATAATTATTATAAAGTCAATAATATTTATTATTTTTATTTTTTATATTAAAATATTATATAAAATAAATAAATATATATAATATTTAATAGAATATATGATGGATAAATTATTTATAATTAATAAATTTGAATATATATATATATATATATATATAAGATAAAATGGTATTAATATGGTAAATAGAACTTGGCACATATGAATTGGTATCTAATTAATTGCTATTAAAAATACCCATTTATATCTATTTGAATTAATTTTCTTTTCAAGATATATATTAATTCATTGATTGCTTACATTTTTAATCTCAATTTTTACAAATCAATATGACCTTATCATCCATTGGCTTGAAATTGAAATCTAAATAATATATATATATCAAAAATAAAATAAAATAAAATCTTTATTTATATATAGACTTAAAATAATAAAAAATAGATAGTTTTAAAAATATTTAAGAAATTTTTAATCAAATTAGTTATTTTTATCAAATTCAAAATTTAGAATTAATTATCAATTAAGATTAAAAGATAAATTAATAAATTTGTTCTTAGACATTTAGATCTATTATTTTGTTTGATCAAATACCTAGACTTTTACTTTTGTGTTTGTATAAATATATCTATATATACACATTAGAGCTATTAAGTCCACAAATAATACTAAAAATATTTCTAGATCTTATGCAAAATATTATTTCACCTACCTTTGTTCTAAATTCTAGTCATTGAATGGATTTATATCACATTATTTTTGCTCATATGTGTAAACAAACCAATGGCCAATACAATGTTCTTAATATACAAGTGAAGCTTTTTGTGTAAAAATCTCTAAATGTTTTATTCATTCATTTATTTAATTTAGCTTCATTTCTACCATAACTCCCGTGTAAACAAATCCCAAATGAAACAAACAAGATATCAAATTCAACTCTATCAAAACTTCACTTAAAATAAAATAAATATAAATAACTCCTTGGCATGCAAATAAGAAAGTTTGTTTTGTTTTGTTTTGTTTTTTGTTTTTGTTTTTTTTCGGCGTTGTGCTTTGGTGTGAAGTATTGTCGTCCATTGCTCTCTGTTTTGTGAACGAAGTTTTCGAATCGCGTAGTTTCACTGCAAGTATCGTTTCGTCTGAACCACGATTGTTGTGAAATCGCGGGCAGAATGGAATCGAGGAGGAATTGCATGATTTCAATGACTGTTTTCTCAGAGTTTCTCGTTATGTCGTTGCGCAGAGTGTTTCTTTCCACTTGGACTTCACCGGGATTCTGCTAAGTTCTCAAGCGTTTGATTTGCATGAAGATAATTTTTATTACAGAAGCGCAGTTTCAGCTGTCTTGGGTTCCCTCGCAATTGCCGGGATTGCAGTAATTGAGGCTTTTGTAAGTTGATCCTTGTTCCGTAATTCCACCTGGTAGTGTCTGCTGAGTTAGTATTCTGCAATTCATATTTTAGGGTTTTCAAGTTAAATTCTTAAGAAATAAAGTTCGAGCATGTTCAAGTAGGCCTGCGGTGGCTGTTGTTGTCTAGATTTCACGGTTAGAACATTGAAGCGTATTTTCTGTACTGTGTGTAGAAGCACCTCGGTGTTGGGAACGGAGTGTAGAGATCACCTGCGATCCTGATGTGGTTTTGTTTTCCTGTCATTACAATTTATATTTTCTCTGAACATACTGAAATTCGTAGATGAGATTGGCTGAACGCATGTTGAATTCTCGATTTGATGTCTCACATTCTAGGTTACGGTGCTCATCTTAATAATGTCATAAATTTTCAATGTTGCAGAAACAGTTGCAGTGTCGCTTTTGAAATTCTTTTCCCAACTTTCAGAGAGGAATCATTACGCGTTATGGGAAACTCCGCATCCACCAGTGAAGGTATGCTTGGCGCTCAGTAAAAACCAGGACACTTATCCGCATAGTTGAATGCCTTCAATTTCCCCTTTGAATTCAGGTCATATCTAGCAGCATTCACCACTGGAAATAGGATTTTGCGGTTTCTTGCAGTTGATCTAATTCTGAATGTAACTCGCACTTCAATACTTATTCAAGTCTCACCCACATCACTCCAAGATTAAAATATACTGTGTATTTTAAAGCCTGCGTTTACTTGAAATTAAGCATGTCTACTGTCCCAATGATCTAGTCCTACTAACAACAGGTAAAATCTCTCCCACGACCACCGAGCATTGATCTAACAGGCTAATCCTGTTTACCGAGAGCAGGAGTTAGTGACCAAGGTTATTCTCAACTCGAAAGGAAATTGCAAGCAGACCTGACTTATCTAAAGCGTGCGTTTACCCATCTGAGTGCCTCTAAAGATGCTAATCAACAATCTATACCCCTTTCGACACTTGAGGCAAGCTTTTCACTTATTTTCTATTCAGTGTGTGAGGTGTATGGCTTCTTTCATATTGTCCTCCTTTTTGGTCGATCTCGTATTACGTCCTTGAAGTTATGTTACCTCGTACCGGCCACTTCATTTAGATTGCGGTCATCAATTTCAAATTAGAATCTGTTCACGGCTATCGTGGATTTTAAGAACGTGGTAATGGGCTTTGCAGAGAGCTTTCAATCTGGCTCCACTAAATGTGGCAGATTCAGCCCCCTCGACTCTTCTATCGTTCATCTCGGAGATTGGACCAGCACTCACGAGAACATTTTTTAACAACAATTCTGGACAGGTCAGAATTTGCAACATTGTCTTTTAGCTGTAAGCCGCATGTCTTCTCCTTCAGTGTAACAATTTCCTTCTTCTGCCTCTAGACTTTGTTATGCACATTTTTAATTTAGGTCTTCTTCACTAGTTCCTCTCGCCTGAGCCGAAACAGTAGACCGAGTATGCAGAAAAATTTCATTCTGCTCCACACCTTGCCATAATTATGGTGCTGACTCTGAGTATGACAGTAACAGAACACGCTGAGCGTGCTGAATTTTGCTACTCTTTAGTTGTAAACATGTTTGTACGTTGGCAGGTGGATTGGCCTCTTTTTCTTTCGGGCTTTGACATGTGTTGCAAACAAGGCTTGGGTGCAGTCAAGTTAAAATCGCTCTTCTTAGTATTTGTGAAAGGCAAATATAAGCATGAGTTACTTCCAGGATTACAAGGTGAAGTTGATGAAGATTTAACTGGGTTTGTCACCATGAGCCAGCTGCAAGACGTGTTCTTGATTTGTTGGTTACTGATGTGTCACTCAAGACTCGAAAATGTTCAAGATAGTGAGGTGTGTGCCCCATTCTCAAGTTTTCTTGTGTCCCTCCCCCCCTCCCCCCCCCCCCTCTTCTTTTTTGTCATAATGAAATTTCCAAGTTTAATTTTAATGATTGGGACCATTGTTGATCAATTTTATCATGAGGATTTTTAGAAACTTGGTCATGTAAATCTTCAAGAGATCAGAGAATTTGCGGGAGGCATATTCAAAAGTTCAGTGCACCGTATTTCTGGCATTATTGTCTTAAACAATTGTATTGATATGATAGAAGCTGGCTTGACAGGAACTGTACGTGCCTCTGCCAAATTTGCGACCTCTGCTAGCTTCCTGTTACGCAGCTATAACTGGGGCACCCGCTGACACAGCTTGGACAGGCAAGGAGGAAATAAAAGTGGAAAAACTGACTTCTTGGATTTTAGCAACTATCCCTAGTATTACTGAAAGCATTGAGCAATACGTTAAATGCCACATTCAGCGACTTGGTTCTGAAAAAAAGGTTAATTCTTTATAAGCAAATATCAGTAATCAACAAATGTACAAAGTCGGGTTTGGTTTTACTCACTGCTTATATGTACGAGCGTATTTATATTCTTGGTTCATCTGGGAATTTTTTGGAGCTTCTCTTACAGATAACATTTCATTGCATTCAGAATATAAAATCAGAAGATAAGCCTGCTGTACAAGCTATGGAAGCAGCAGACAAGATGGAAAACGTTCCGAAGGACTTGGAGAAAGCAAAAGCAGTAGATCCAGGGCTGCTCACGTTCGGAACGGCATGGGCCATTGGGCTATTTTTAAGAGACTCAAGCGGCTCAAACCTCGTTGCTGCTGCTTGTGATCTGTTGGGCTCTTCCACTAGCTATCCGACGCTCTTATACAGGTGCTGCTCATTATTGTTTCTCATCTGTATGATCTGGAACCCTAGTTTTCTGGAAGCAATGACATTGTCTCAACTTGAGACTCATGGCATGTACTAAGAGCATAATGTTCAGGAGCGTATTGTCTAGGCCTTGTAAAATAGAACAACGTATAAAACAGCACCTATTTGCAGCAATGTGCTATTCCATACTCTTGTCAATATGTCGTTTCTAGAAATTACTGATAATCAAATGCGTCATCAAATGCGTAGCAGGCTTTTCTTTTGATTACGATATCAAACTCCATCCAAGGATCCTTCCTTTTTGTAAAGAAGTGATATTGCCTTCAGCCCTCAGTTTAGATCTAGTGGTGGCTACTAGGTACCTAAAGTTACATTTCCTAACCGCACACTAGCAAATGGCTTTCATTGCATTCTGCAGAGTTTCTACCCATGGACGAGGAATCAGCCGATTCTGGACGCGAGTGGAAGGTTACAAGGCGCCTTTATTGATGTTGATATCAGGGACTTCAATTGATTATGATAAAAACGAACCCTCGGGGGCGAAGTGGGTAGTAGGGGTTTTGGTTCCAGGAGGATTTGAAAACAAGGAGGTCTTTTATGGAAACTCTGGCTGCTGCCTCTTCGCTATCTCACCGTTTTTTTTGCCTCTGCGGTCAACTGGTATTTCTACCTCACTTCCAAGTAAAAAAAGATCTCTATAATACTTCGTTATAATTAACATGGAAAAACTGGTCTTAAAAGGTTCACCTACCCCCGTGTGTTATTGTAAGCTTCTTTTGAGTTGATTGGGATATATTCTGGTGTCAATTTCAATCCCTGTGTGTGCTTTTGACTTGTGAGCAATGCCTACCTCCGAGAGAACCATTCTTTGTGCAGTGAGTGTATATCTTCTTGTGTTCAAGAAACCTTTTGACCCACAGGGGTTTTGTTACTAGATTGTGGATATGCAGGTTCAGGTTCATTCCGTTTTATCCCATATTTATGATTCACTCAAGGTACTTATGTATGCTGGCTTGCAGGGAAAGAGACGAATCATGTTTATTGTCACAAGCGTACTCCTGGTGCTGTTTACAGGTCTCATCCAAGACCGGAGGGAGTTGGATTCGGTGGTTCACCAGGGAAAGAACGTTTGTGGTTAGATGATGAGTTTTTGACTGTCACTATTCAGCATCATGCGTTGGACAAATCCTATCATTCTGGGTCGCTAGTACCAGGGCAGGTATAAAGTTTTATACTGTTTTGTACACTACTTCGTTGTGTGCAAAATGTTTCGAACGTTTTGAATGGTCTCATCTTCTTTCAACATTCTGAGAATTGTTTCGCACTGCAAAGTGATCATTACAGTGACCGATTTCCTACCTATTAATTTTTCATAATATCCTCCTCTGGACAGGGCTATTCTCCTGTGAAGGCCAGAGTTGGTGAAGTGGAAGTCTGGGGTCTTGGAGGGGCGAGTGCTAATGAGCAACACGATAAGTATCAACATCGAGAAACCTTATTTTCTGAGCAAAGGCGAAAGGTTTGTGGACAGTATTGGAATAAGAAACAAACGTACTCTAATCGTTTAGACCAGTGCCGTAAAATAGTATGTGGTTATTTTTTCCAATAGTTTTGAGGGGAAATGAGATGTCCTAAGTTAAAGGCTCTTGTGATTTGACTTTTGCGATTTATCTGATGGCAGGTTGATTTGAAGAACTTTGGGAACTGGAGAGACTCGCCCGAGGCCACGATGATGGAAATGATTTCCAACCCCACCAAACTGGAAAGAGAGGAACGTTAGAATGAACCTTCACTTTAGGCTAATGACGAATGTCTTTTCTATGGAATACGAGAACAAAATCATTCACCATTCTAATCCTCGAGGAGATATAACTGAAGGTTACAGTGCTCTCCCTGCAACTTGGTAGTAACTGTCTCTTCAGAGTCAAATATTCTATAAGTTTATCCACCTCATCTGCTGCGAGTTTCCAGAATATTTAGGACAAGAGTATCCAGGTTCCAGCATATGGTGTAATCATATGGTTCCAGCATATGTATTGGATTGTGTGTTCCTCAATCAGCTGAAAGTTTTTCTCTTTACTTTGGGAAATGTAGCTTCGCTTCACTCGTGAAATCTGAACAGCAGCATCACATGTATTGTGGTTTGATTACTTGATTCCTACTTACACAACTAAATGCTCCTACAACTTCCATACACACCACTGCCACTGGGCACTTAGAACTGCACTTCAATTCTAAAAGAATCCGGGTTTTTGCAAAATAGCTGATTCTGATCTGTCTTATATGTCTCGAGGAAATCAGATGTTGCGCACGGAGATCTTTACATAACTTTTTGGGTGGGCCATTACACGACTCGTCATCATGAAATAGGAATCAAGAATGTAGCGAACAGGCTGTAGTAGAGTCGCAGCCAGGTGGTCAATGAAAGAGCTTCGTACATCTTAAGATTTTTTTTTTAATTTGTGACGCTATGATATATTGCGACAAGTTTCCAGCTTTTATTTTTTATTTTTTTATTTTTATACGTGTGTATATATTTTGCATATCAATGAGGAAGCTGGTGCCCAGCTTACTACGTGAATGGGTTTTGAAAGAAATCTACCTTTTCTTTATTTTACACATTACTTTTCTGCTTCCTTCAGTGCAAATAACTTCACACATGTTATTTACATATATTTTAGTCTAATTCTTTCTATTTGTTCTTGTGAATGTAGGCCAAAAATTACACACATGTAGCACGCTCAGGCCCAAATTCAAAACAAATAGATCCGATTTGTCATCCATCACATTATGTGAAAATGAATGTCGAATACCATTTTCCTTCAACTTCATCCATTTTGATTTCTTAACTAAACTACACCTTGATGACACAATAAGATGCCACCTTGCACACATCCTCAGTATCACTTTATAATCATTAAGAGACGTTAAGACAAGCAAACTGTGGTTTGGACCTTCAACTGTGTGGTATGGAAACAGTACCAGACATTACCAGATATTTGAAAATCATTGAGCCTGGAAACACCTTCCCAGCCTAGAGCTGAAGGGTGTAAAACTAATAAGTTGTAAACCTCAGCTTAGAATACGTCATCAACAAGGGTATGACGAACCGACTCAACTAGGTGAGTAAACGTTAATGAGTTAACCACATGCAGACTTCGGTGCATTTCACGAAAGCTGTGTCAAGTAAATGATTTTTTCCAGACAGTTGTTTTGATGAACCTTGTGCACAATAATTTCTAGGATCAAATATAGCAGATACCTTTCTTTGACTACTACATAGCCCACTCACCGAATGTTACAAGAATCTATGCCGTTGAAGCTAGACCCAACTCAAGCAGTTGTTGATGAAGCATGAAATGCGCTTCAAATCAAAACCGACTAAGATTCCGAGAAAAAATCATTTGGAACTAACCTAGGGATATTCTTTAACCTTCGAGGCCAACCGTTCGTCCTGACATTCCTATTTCCGTAAAACATCACTATTCTATTTTTAAAGATGGTAAGTGGTTTAGCACTTCAGGATAAGAATATCTTACCAAGGCTACTACTTAGAGACATTACTTTCCACACTTTCTAGCTTTACAAACCTGCACTTTTCTTCAGGTGTCGTTTAAAATCCATAATATCACCATTCCACTTAGTTATGGACTTCTTCTCACATACCCAGATCTCTTTGGCGACTTGGTTAATGAGCCTGAAATCGTGACTGACAAGAACCATACCTCCATCCCACTCATTCAAAGCTTCCGCGAGAGAATCAATGGTTTCAATATCCAAATGATTGGTGGGCTCGTCCAATAAGAGCAAGTGGGGCAGTCTCCAAGCTAGCCAGGCAAAGATGACACGGCTCTTCTGCCCATCGGAGAGATTGCCCATAGGCATAATCTGAGCCTTCCCTGTCAGTCCAAACCGTCCAATAGCTGCCCTCATTTTCTCCTCCTCCAAACCAGGGTATTCGCTCATCATATATTGGAGTGCTGACATTTCAAGAGAGAGCTTTTCTGTAAGATGCTGGTGATACTGGGCAATGCGAAGGTGATTATGCCGGCGCACCATGCCATCCGTAGGCGTGACGTCGCCAGTCATGAGCTTCAACAGAGTGCTCTTCCCTGCTCCATTTGGTCCAACAAGAGCAATCCTAGAGTCGAGATCTACACCAAAATCAACCTTCTCATAGATAAGCTGATCAGGAGTGTAACCAAACGTGAGATCCACAAATTGGAGAACGGGAGGAGGTAGCTTCCCAACGTCTGTAAACCTGAAAGTCAAGACCTTATCCTTAACAACCTTCTCTGTAAGTCCACCTCTCTCCATCTTTGCCAGTGTCTTTTCTTTGCTTTGAGCTTGTCGGGCCAGTTTTGCAGAACCATGTCCAAATCTGGCAATATATTCCTTCATGCCTGCTATCTGCTCTTGCTCCCAGCGGTATTGCTTCATCTGATTCTCCTCCAACTCCGCTCGTGTTTGACAATACTGATCGTAATTTCCAGTGTAAAACTTGAGCTTTTTGCTTTGCATATGGATGATGTTGGTGCACACACCATTCAGAAAATCTTGGGAATGAGATACGACCACCAATATTCGATCGAATTTCTTCAGGGTCTCTTCCAGCCACACACATGCCTCCAAGTCTGCAGTTTCGAAGATATTAACATCGATTCTTTACATATTAACCGTAGTATCAAAGTAAAAGACTTCGGAGACATTCACCCTTCGAAGCCGAAGACAACACAATCATGATACATCTGAATAATCATTCATATTCACGATCGAAGTGGCAACCTTGATCAAGTATCAGTATGATCTCCTAAATAAGTACCCCCTATATGACCACTTTCGAATCTGCAACAACATAATTTGGTAAGGTAAAGCACTTTACAAAAACTGTTGTTACCTTACCAAATTATGCTGTTGCAGATTACAAAAACTGTTATTAGACCAATAAGACTCACCAAGGTGATTGGTTGGCTCATCCAACAAAAGTATCGTTGGATTCATGAAGAGAGCCCTTGCTAACGCTATCCTCATCCTCCATCCTCCAGAAAAATCACGTGTTTTCTTAGCTTGCATTTTCTTGGTGAACCCTAGACCATGCAAAATTTGTGCGGCTCGCATCTCAGCCGTCGCAGAATCCATAAGTTCCAATCTCTCATAAATCCGATCCAATAGCTCCCCACCACCATCGTCCTACACAAAAACCCAAGTTCAAATCGTATTCAGACAATAAATACTTAACAAATCCTCATAAAGGACAAAAATATTATTTTGGGCAAGCGTGGATAAAAACAAAAATTGCCTCATTAGCAGAATATGTACAATTACTACTGCAGAAAAGAGCCATATTGCACTCACTTGAGCAGCAAGCTTCTCAGCTTCCTTCTCCAATTTCAATCTCTCTTCGTCCACATTCTTAACAGCTTCAAGAGCAGTCAGATCCGTGGCATCGATTTCCTTGGTCAAATGGTAGATGTCCATATGCTCTGGTATTGGAACTTCTCGGAGTCCAATGGCTGTAAGAAGTGTCGATTTGCCGCAGCCGTTCAACCCAAGAAGTCCATACCGCCTACAACGGGCAAAACGTTCAACATGAATTCACCAGATTAGTATCCACAGCTAACTGTAACATTGGCTGCTGAAATTACTCTTGATCTTGTAAACCATATTTTATTGCAGACGTGCAAGTTTTTCGCCATGTAAAAATTACCTTCCATAATTGAGTTCAAGAGTAGAGTCAGACACCAGCTCATGACCGTGGAAAGTCACAGATAACGATTCAATCTGCGAAAAAACCGAGCACCAGTTGTTTTTGTAAGCACAACACAAAATCCGAAACACACAGCCATTCCTTCCCTAGTTCCTCATCCTACTGATATTGGAAATCCATGAAAAAGAGTAATGTCTAACGAACAGAAGCAACAACTGCCCCCAACATACGCCATGATTTTAATTGTCATGAAAAAGGAACCATTGCTACAATAAGACCGGAAAAATTCATGCACGATTGATCATTGAAACTGAGGGGGATTCAAAGCTAGAAACAACGGACGAGACCGCACTAAAACAAGCGGATGAACGTCGTGAGAAACTGCAACTTCAAAAACTAGAGACCCAACGTGACACAATTAAAGACAATCACAAAGAGAACGCACATGAATATCCCTGGACTGCGGATGCGATGCCAAGACACCCGTACATGTCCGATCCGTAATCCTGGCTGCCGCCATCTCCTCAGCCAAACTTTCGGCGGTGGCCCCAGCCTGCACCTCTTTCAGCTTAGACTGCGCTACAGCTGCAGCCGATTTAGATCCACGCTTCTCTGCTGCGGCGGCTTTCTTGGCCGCAGCCTTCTTCTTACTAGCGTCGGATACCATTGCTGCTTGTGCCTAGGCGGAGTCAGAAACCACGGAATCTGCTTACACATATACTCAAAAATTAATACCAAAGTGAAAATTAAATCTAAGAGAAAAGAGAAGAAAAAACACACCGTCAGAAACCGCAGACAATCCAAACCCGTGAAACACAAACCCTAACATAAGGTTAACGTCATCATTCTACAACAGAATTGGCCCCAAGGACCAACATTAGAGCGCAATTCGGCAAAAATCTCCTGCTCCTCAAAATCTTAAAGATAACTAAGAAAACTACCGACAAAAATAATCATAATCTATACAAGAAGGCAGATCCAACTCCAGTCTCCACGAGAAATAAACAGCCGACTACACAAAACAAAGCAAGTATCACAGTCGAGAGAAAGACAAAAAAACTACGCTTCGCACAAAACTCCCAACACAGAGGCAATCCCCGTTCATCGTCTCAATCAAAACCTCAACCGACATGCACCACAATTACCTCGTTCTTATCATCGTCTCTAAACCAACCCTTTCTCCTACTCTCCATTCCACGACACAAGCATTCCAGACCTCTTAAGGCCAGATGCTCAATTGCTCAGTCATTAAATCCTTGGCTTACCCGTCAAATCGAGATAGTAGCGTGCATGCAGTTGGAAAAGTTTCTAGAAGTGAGAAGAGACACAGACAGCCAAATTGTAAGGCCCGCAATGTTCCGAGGCAGAGCAACAATTGGAAATCGACCTCCTACCGCAGGGAACGACAGCGCCTTCCAATCCCTACAGTCACTCCCTCGTCTGCACGAGAAATGTCAATCTTGTTGCACCAGATCACACTATCCTGGAAGACTTGGTCCTTTCTCTCGGGCTCTAGAAAATTCCGGTACTATAATAAAAATTGATCAATACTCTCGCTCATGTCAAGCCGCTGTTGTGGCGTTTCTCATTCCTACCACATGCTATTTTTTGGACCGTGACATCCACAGTAGAACTTTCTGGTGGGCACGGGCAAGGGCACGGGCAATTCGGTGCTGTATGTAGTGAGCAGAGTCGCACTCCTTGCTATTTCTTACCGCCACGAGGACATGCGAGACAGAGAGTGCTGCGTCGTAAAATTATCAGTCTGTGTGAAAGGAGATGGCAACCAATCCATTAGGAAACATCTGGAACTTAGAAGGTTGACGGAATAATCCGCGCGAAGATGAATTTGGTAGTAAAAATAGGTCCACTGTGTGTGTTCCTGACAAGTGGAAGACATGGATGGTGAAGGGGAAGGTGAAGGTGAACTTACTCACGGACCTGCTTGGTTAGGTTTTAGGGCTTGCAGGAGTGTTGCTAAGTGTTTCGAAAGATTGGTGACAAACTCGGTGACATACACTTGAACTCTGTACACCTACATTATATGACAATTCCGTTGCAAAAGTACATCGAACTTCTACGCACAGCACTGCAAAATGATGTCGGAGCGAAACGGTGACTGTGATGCGGTAGCAGTTCCGAACTTGAATGGGTAACGTACCGTGACTCCGTGATACTTTAAGTTATACAAGAAGTGATAGTGACAAGCATTGCCACAAGTCTTTCCACTTCTATTCGTTTTGGTAAAAAAATGCAAAGGACAGAATAGAAGCCGCGAGGGGTTACAGTGCTGCGTGTTGCAAACAGCGTGAGTTAACGTAACGATGTGTTCTCAAGCTTCAGTTGCAAGGAGCAAGGTACAACATCACGGCTTTATTTCTGGAAACCAAAATTATCCACCTCTGTGATGAGAGCTCTAAATGAGGAGCCCTGTACCAGGAACTTGTGAGCATTAATCTCACTGCTCTTCCACTGGGAACCCCTCCAATCCTCGTAACTGATTATCTATCAATCTATTCGGACAACTAGAGCACTGCTAATGCTGCCAAATGCTTTTGGTTTGTCAACAAAAATAAAAATACAAGTGCTTCGTGAGTGCTCTCTATCAGCAACCACACTCTGCCTCTATGAGCTGAAGCAGTATAAAGCCCTATCCCTTCTAAATCAGCATGAAACAATGTGAAGGAGAGCTGCCAGTCGAGAAATGGCCACCAAATCTAACAGACCAGCTGCCAACCATCTTTTGCAAATGTAGTGTTACATGGAAGCCTATCCATGCATTAAGAGCCCCTTCCACCCAGAGGTGGTTTGGTTACCTTCAGCGATACAGATAATTGTGGACTAAAGAATACCATTCAACACCTTCTGATAATAATCATACTGCCGTGTCCGCCATGCATCCAGACTTTTAGCGATAAGCTCCAAAACTGATGATACGCATTGCTGAACAAAAGGCAGTATAATGTCAGCTGAAGGAAAAAGTTCACAAAAACAATTTCGGAACATTGCCAATTCGTAATCAGATGCATTGCCAAACAAAAGTATATTCACGTTGGTCTTCTCACCAACATAACAATTGATATCACAAAGTAAGACTATTGTCTGTGAACATTCTAAATTCAATCAGCTTCGCTCTAAAAGCATGTCCTTCAAATGGTGTAGAAGAACGCAAACGCGAAGCATGTCCTTCAAATGGTGTACTTCAGTTCATAATAATGTAAGCTGTCTGTTAAGATCTTCTCAATTCATACAGTGACTTTCTCTTTCCCGATCACCAATAACTTAAAACAAGTATGACAGTTTTAGGATGCAACATCGTACACTTGACGTTTCACACAATGTATAGACGTTGAGCGGCGGTTCTTTATCTGATTATTTTTTAAAGATGCACACACGACAATTGAAATGACACTTGTCAGAGACTTTTTCTTCACTCGTCACGTTTAAAAACATACCTCCTCTGTCAAGCTTAGATGAAAACGCTTCCGCAAATTTTGCAGTGTCCGCGGACCCCCTTTAAAGCACGGGTATCCAGAATCCTGCGAACACAAAAGAGTCGTTAATGTTGAGGTAGAAAGAATACACCATACGCAAAGCATCTATCTCCAGGAATGACACAATCCTCCAAAAATGCAGGCACATATGTTGAGCTGACAAGTAAATAGGAATTCACGCTATTTGCTATAAACCCTCGCCTATAAAAACGAAGTGTCAGAAAACCTGACGCATGTTCCCGAAAATGTTTTAAAAACAATCAAGTGCCTTCTATTTAAAACTCTGAAAATTATTGTTAATGAGTCATTGGTTCCAAGTGAAACCGCACCTGCATCATCTCCACAAGTAGTATGATGCGTTCTGCATGCTTCCGGCATGTCAGAAATCCTTGAATGCACAAAACCTGAACAAACAAAGTAGCCCAGTTCAATAAAGTATCAGTTAGCTCAGAAAGAAGGAATCAAAGGACAAAGATAAAAGAATTGGCTACCACCAAAATATTTTGCAAGAAACTGGTGGATACCTTGAAGTAGTCATAGAATTCACTTGCAGTACCCTCCGCATCAGAATCCATTACCTGGATTGAAATAATCCAGTAAGGTCAGACCCCTATGATGAATCAATCACTTGTAATACACAAGCGAGTACTATACAGCACACCCAGAAGTTTTGTTTCAAAAGTTACCTCAAGAAGCTCGCGTGTAAGTTTGAAAGGAGCACTTTCAAAATTCACACCACCAGGAGAATTGGAGAGCATATAACCAAAGTCAATATGGATAATGTGTCCTTCCTCATCGATCAGCAAGTTTGAATTATGCCTATCTTTCACCTACAGGTATCGTAAAGATAAGGTGCCTGGTAAGCCTGACGTCAATGCTTCACAGCAAATCTTCGGCATACAGATGTATATCAAAGCGAGAAAAAAATAATAATATAAAGAGCACAAAATCAATTCCCAAGTCACATTAAGGTGAAAAGCTAAGTAGAAATACCTGAAGAATGTAACAAAGGATAGAATATCCTGCCATGCTCTCCACAAAATTTCTCTGCCCATCCGTGATCATGTCAAACACTCTCTATTTCAATGTCGATTTTCTATCTAATACATTGCAAATATCTGATCAATAGATCCCTAAAGTTACTGAAATCAGCTTTACCTCGAAACAGAATTTAAGAAACCTTTGTTTCGACATATGACACACACAAATACTGATGTGGTTTCTGTAGCTTAAAGATAGTTCACAACGTCAAAGCTAAAAATCCTTTGATCTTCGAGACCAGGATAGCAGCTACTCTGGTCAAGTGATAGATGATTTATCTAAATCTAACCACCTGGATTCAGTCCTCAAAATAGTCGTGCTCAGCTCCTGCAGTGCGACGAAAAACCAAAGGAAAGAATATTCACCTGAGCAAGTTTAAATGCAGGAGAGCCCTCAACATACTTCTTGCAGAAAAAATCCCGCAAACTGGTCACATCACTATTCCTACTTTTGATAGAGTGAATTGAAGCCTGAGAAACACAAGCAACATGAAACCCCTTTTAGTACTACATAGAAACAACGTCCTTGGTGTGCGTTAAAGAGTAAAAACATATATCATGCAGTTGATAGATGGTAGGACGACGTCATCATTCAAAATTTAAGACGAAAATGTAGAGGCCGAGAAAACTGCTCACCGTGTCGTAAATGGTTTCAATCAGAGCTGTGTGTGAAGATGTGACAAGCACCTCATACGGACGCAACCAAAGAGGAAGGCCAGCTTCCTGGAAGATATCTGTATGTTTTATACACAAATCATCAGAATGAATATATTTGAAAAATAATCACTGAAATAAGATAAATTTGATCTAAAATTTGTTCTAAATAACACATTTAAACAGAACGCACAGTAGTCTACAATATGAAAAAAGCATCTGTAACATCCTCTTCAAGTCAAGGAATAAATTTAGAGTAAGAAAAAGAAAAATCTTCGAGTATTCTTGTATGAATATAATCTAACACCTAAACATTAAGTTGATACGTTACCATAAAAGTGTCCAATAAGTTGCACAGCTAAATGTTCTTGTCTGCAATCGTCACCACTCTTCACGATCATCTGGAATGACAAAAATCTAAGTTAAACAAAGAACTGGAACCAGGGATAAAACCAGTCGCGTCCGCTTTGTGCCAATTCCAAGCGAAAGCCCACAAAAGATGAGTTCTTGGCTTACAGAGCGTAAATCCCAATCAGGACTAGAACTCCATTTAGAAGTCTTTTGTATCCTTTCCCGTTTATTCTCCCATAATTCACCAGCGAGGGCATCGGTGGCTTTTCCTTTCACCCCTATCCTTTCCTGCAAAATTGATTAGTTGAAGAACATAAAAACGAGGATGGAAGAGATGGATTACTTCGTATAGAACCTCCACCTTTCAAGAGAAAAAAAACCTACCATAGGATATTTCAGAACTTAAAATCGTCTACTCGTCACCCATGCCACTATATATAGATATTTATGTGCTCCAAAGTGCAGAGGACAAACCGGAGAAATCGTCCTTTAACATCACAATAAAATCTGCAGAGCATACCTCTGCAAAGAAAGTAAGAGATCCCGCCTCTTCAGCAATACCCCTCAAATCTAGAGTAAGTTTCAAGAAAGAGGGTCATAGGCCCACCATCCTCACCTCAGTTTGTGTTGGTGCTGTGCCACTCTTTTTAACTGGGAGACCAGCTGGGGCTTCACCCTCTGCTACAGCAGCCTGATGAAGAGGAGGCTCAAATAATCAGCCTTTGAACCTTACAATAGAGGAAGAATCACTCCTAAATAGAACATTAACTTAGTCCTATTCTTCATGTGTATTATTGCGATCCATTGTAAAGATTGGCTGGCATATTCATATCATCTGATAACTTTAATAAAAGCACCACAGAGAACCAATCGGAAGCCTGCAAAGTTCATAATCTATCACTTACTTTTACTTCAGCCATGGCAATTGTACTCGGGACCCGCCGGTGGTCTTTCCTACGAGCTGGTTGTTCCTCCTCTATATCCTCCATATTCACCCCTGGAACCACAGACAGTATAACACTAACCCATTCTACATCTTCTCCGCTAGGTTTTCCTTTTCTTCCCCATGGATTTTTTACTTTGGGCTTGTCTTGAAAATTAGCGTTGCACCCATTAGCTCCTCCAAATTCCTCTCTCAACGAGAAAGAATCCATTGACAATCCACTTCCATCCGAAGCGCAAGTTGAGGGGCTTTGGCACTCTCCTGATTCTCCTCCCATATGGCTGCAACTTCCTGTTTGCAAAGCAGCAAGTTGTGCCTTCCGGGGTTGGACAGAAAAACTTACATCGACAACTTTCAATTTCGATTCCCAAAGATGTGCCATAGCAGCATCAATTGCCTTTGACGCACTACGTAGAAGTTGTTGAGTATTTGGCTGTTGCACATCAGGTTGAAGAGGGTAAGCCCATGGAGGAGGCCGATGCAGTTGAGCATCTCCATTAGCAAGGGGGATCCCCCCTTTGGCTGTCTTTATCCCCGCATTTGACTGTTTTTGATCCTTGTTCAGATTGCTGCACAATACCAAACAGAAGTATTTATATAAAAAAAAAGTTTTAACAAAAACCGAGGCATGTGGAAACTGAAGATGCACACAGAAATGTGTTAGTATCAAACGAAAGTTTCCCACAACCTGATCAAACTTGTCTATGAAAAGTACCTCCTATTCATTGAGTAGTTTATACGAATCCGGAGACACACCCCTTTTTTTTGACATTGTTACATTAAAAAGCAGCCACATTGATAGCACCCTCAAAGGTTCACATAAAAAGACTAACGAAGCAACAGCACCGACAAAAGGCAGAAAAAATGACATGCAAATGATGCAAGCATCCGTAACCAAGAGCTTAACATATTTAGGCTTGATTTCATTATGCTCGATTCCTTAACATAATGGACGCAATGATTAAAATAATAAGTTGCAAAAGCGAGTAATTAAGGAAGTAACTTCACCTCTTTGCTTCGCATTTGAGGACCTCGATACAAATTAAATAAGGTGCTTTATCCCTCGAATTTAGAAGCACACACTCGTCCACGGGAATATGAACTACTCGGCACAATCCCTTGCCCATCGGGAAGCAGACCCCTGCGCAACATATTTCAAGCAAAAAGTTGTTACCACGCTGATGTGCCCTGAAACATCGCATTGATAAAATTGAGTAGTTTTCAAATAAAAGAACTAGTAATACGTATACTATGCTGCAAGGAACTGCGTGTGCTGTCAAGAAAACATTGATGATCCACAAACCCATAACGTATTGCCACACTAACCTCTCAGATATGGGATCCTTGAGAAGGACAAAATCATCTCCATAAAAATAGGACATTGCAGGTAGCAAGCGCAACTTGCAAGAGCGGAGTAATGCACTTACCTCCGTCACTTTCTGCAGCTACCAGCTGTTGATTTAGTTCAGCAACAGACTGCCACAGAGCAAAGCACAGCTGATAAATTTGAAGCGTATTCATTGAATTTGACTGAAGATTGCTCAACTACAACCCAAATGTAAAACTAGTAATCGGACAGTATGAGTTTTGAAATACCAAAACAGCTTCTGAACTCACGAAAAAGAAAACAAAATAGAAAAGCTGAAAAAGAATCAATATAATAAATAATGAAATATTAAAAACAACATCAATTCGTCTGATCATTGCATCCTTGCAACCAGAATGTTGGAATATCACCCATTCAAAACGGTTGATTTCATGCTAATTGGCGCATGTCATAAGAATCAAGTTCGTCTGGATGACAAACCTCTCGCAGAGCTTGAAGACGGTCTTCCATAGGAAAGCAATCTACTAAGCCCGATGACGTATCACAAAGAGACTGTACAAGGTCCAAAGTTGCTTGATATACACCCTTCCTCAAGTTTGATGCGGAAGATTTAGGGAGAGGTGGTTTAGTTGAAGTCTTCTCTGTCCTTCGCTTGGGAGAACCTGGTCGCTTCTGTGAAACGAGGTCAACATACCAAGAAGTCTTCAAGTCAATTACTTTGACTAAACACCTCGAATCCCTCGCTTGTGAAGGACAACGATGAGCTAATATGAAATATTCACCTCATAATCAGTCACTTATGGCAAGAAACACTTCTACGAAGCAGAAACAAATGGTCCAGAATTGCACGCTTACAATAAACGACTTTCCCAGGTCAAAAAATGAAGAATCCGTTGAAGGCAATTTCCAGCTTGAAGAAGTCGTCGAAGGCTTTTCAATCACAGTTTGGGACTCCCTTCTGATCATGTCAGACTCATCAGCATCAGAGTCAAATCGTTGTTCTGCAGCGGTACCTTCCGTTGACCTCCCAACACTACCCTCCTTCCCGAGAATTTCAGGATCATGAGTGCGCACTTTACCACGAAACGCACGCAAAGTATCCTGGAGAAAATTACCCTCGTTTGATCCATCAGTACTATCAGTACTGAGAGAGAGGGATCCCAGCTCATCAGCCAGACCTCCTGGTTCCTCATCGCTCCGATCCTTGAACAGCCTCCTTAAGAAGCCAGAAGGCGTCGTGGAGGGTGTGACAGGTGGCTCTGCATCCCTTTTCATGCTGAAAAACTTGTTACCTTCTTCCCCGTCCCGTTTCATACTGAATAACTTAGTACCTTCTTCCTTGAAAGACATTGAGAAACGTTTCAGAAAGTTTTCATTTACAGGACTATTTTCTGAAGTGATTAGAGCAGGGTGCTCTTGCCCAGGAGCTACCTCCATCATTTTATCGACTTCAGGATGCACCTGACGGAAGAACTTCCTGAAAAGAGTAAAATCAGAGCTTTCGTCCTCTTCCTCATCATCAGGCTTCTTCAACAACATCCTCCTAAAAAACCCTTCTTTCTCATCGTCCACTTTTTCATCACCGTCGGACTTTTCTCGAAAGAGCCTACGAAAAAACCCCTCCTGATTAGCCAATTCCTCACTTCGAATACCCTTCTCATCGTCATCTCTGTCTTTGAAAAAACGCTTAAAAAAGCCATCGGATTCTATTTCTTTCGGAGATCGTCTTAAAATGCTGTCTAAATCACTCTCCCTCATTGGCCTATCATAAACAATCACTTCGTCATCCTCTTTCTCTTCTTTGTCCCGGAAGGGTTTAAGGAGAACATTCCGAACTTTTGACGTTGAAGTCGGAATGAGCTTCTTCAATGCTTTTAGTGACAATTCTGACTCCTCCCCTGTGCTCCGTGTTGTCTCCCGAAAGCCTTCATCAGCTGCAGTGGGTGTAGGTAGCGACGGTGGTGTTCGTTGCGAAGGTGGAGAAGATGTCATCGGAAGCAGTCGCCGGGAAGAAAGAACTGCCTTGAAGACACGGCTACCCTTTGTTCCAGCGCTTAGTACACTTTTCTGAGGTCTGATCAAGGGAGGCCATTCTCCATTAAGCGCTGCCTCCTGGCACTTCTCTTGCACTTTCAAAACGTGTGTGTTGTCTTCTGCACCGTCTGCTTCGGCCAGAAGAAACCAATGAACCTTGATTGCAATGCGAAGAGATTTTCCACACACGTCAACAATGTACCTCTCAAGAGAGGGACATGGCATGTGTACCAACATGTAACATAGTTGAAAGAGGTAACTCTCAATGCCCAAGAGAGGTAATGTATACATGCGATTACACAAGTAATCCCTAACTCCGGAATGCTCATGTTTGTACAGATAGCTCACAGCTATCCATTCACAAAAAAATTCGGAGTCGAAGAATCGGATAAGCCAGCCGCTATCACCGGAGGCACTAGGGCTCTTCACAATCTCCTTAGGATTGTCGTCCGGATCTCGGTATGTGTAGCCAAGAAGGCGAACCATAGCCCCGTCTTGGCGAGCCCGGACCGTAGTCATATTGTATTCTGCTTAGAATGTCCTACGATGTATTGCAGCCCATCCAGGTTACTTGAGTGCAACACAAGGTACTGGTAACGATAGAGGTCCTCACTCTTAAATCCTTTGCCATGCACCGAATACTACCGATCCTACTGGTATGATTCTGGGTTACCTGAAACGCTCACCTAAATCCCCTATCTCGTATCATTACTTTTCTTTATTCATAATAAATGATCGTCAGCTCATGAGCAAACGGCATACCAGCCCCTTTTCTGAACATCCTTCAGAATATCACTGGTTTCCGCGGCTCGAAGCCAAGAATTCCGATGCTTCCATCCAGTCATTCTCTCAACTACCCCTTCGGTGAACATCTTCTGTGAAACAAAAAGCGCCTCACCCGTACATGTCGATGTAATCTTGTAGTTGGCGATAACAGGACCAAGGAAGGCCAACTCGAGAGAGTCTAGAAAGTAAAATGGAATACCTGAATGCTCCAATCCATAGCAAAAGGGTAGGTGATAAAACGCAAATTGCAGAGTTGAAACCCTAAAACTTCTGCTACCCAAACGCCTGCAGCAAAAAGTTCCGAAGGTTTAAGATTTTATGATGCAACGAGCAAGTTCACCTTCTAACACTCAAACATTGAAATTCTACAATTTCCATATAGAAAAATATAAAACTTAGAATTGCGGATAAAAATGCATGTACGTTTCGGCCGTCAGAATGTAAGCCTGCAGACCGAAACAGCTTGTGGTGAAACGACCGAAAGTTACGAATAAGTGAATAACGAGTTTCTAACATGCACGTTGTCTTTTACAATCCATTCTATTTGACCGGAAAGAAAAAAGAAAGACCTCGAGCAAAATTTGTTTAGGATTAGAGAAAGTAGATAGTGACCAACGAACCATTTCAGAGGCAAGCTACACTTCTGCACTGCGAGATATGAACTACTTGGTAAGCTATAGCAATTCCTACACATATCACAAGTGATACAGCTTAGCCGATTTAAGTCACTGTGTCCGAATCAAAGAAAAATACTTAACTACGCCTCTAATGTGCTGGATGCAATGCAATATGGTTTAGAACACACATACCCTAATCATCACCAAGCTATGATAGAAATCTCAGCCAAACGAAGTGAGACCCCATTTCTGTCGCACAAAAAACTGCAAACCGCAAGCACTTTAGATCCTACTTGATTTTTAAAAAACATCCGAGTGGTGATATTCTCTGAGGGTTCCATATACACACTCTCATACCCCCCCCCCCAAACCATTCCTTTTTCTTAATGGAATCACATGAAAATCCCCAGTATAAGTCACCTCCATTACACGCCAGTGGGACAGGTCGATGGACAAGCCAAGTTGCAGCTGCCCTCGACAAGAACTCCACAATCAATTGCCAGCCTTACTCAAACTAACGCTTCCCCGAATCGATCAAATTCCATAATACAATCTTATTCTTTCTCCTAAATCCAACCCTACCTCCTCCCACCCTGGCATCCTCCTCATCAGACCTAATCTAAATGTCCCCGGACAATTCCGCCTGCATCTTATCCGAGAAGATCCACTGCTACTGCCACAATCACAAAATCGCCTCGAAAACTCTCCGTCCTGCCTTCCCCTACCTCAAATCTCACCCCAGACCGCTCTACTCAGCGAGATTCCACTTTCCTGCGCCAATCACTCTCATATGAGGCTCGCCAGAAAGCCATAAACGACACAATCTATCACTCGCAGAATCGAAAACCCCGGATCGACTAAAAAACAAGCGGAAAACACCAAAACGCAGGCCACATAGTCTCACTCACCTAACTGACGCTCCTGGAGTCGCTCGCGCCACTCTGTATGCGAGGTGCATGCCAAGAAGGCGTACCCGGCCCGCCTCACCAACCTTCCCACAATGATCCTCTCTCCATCCCCGCCGCGACCACACACCCTCTCAAGCAGCAATCGCCTCCTGAAACCGTCAACAACCCGAACCTATAGAAACACGCAACACAAATACAAATCACTCTCGTCCTGCAAATGAGTTCCCTCTGCCTCTCTCTCCCCTTCGCTCTCTCCCTCTTCCTCTCTCTCTCGCTTTCTCTCTCTCTCTCGAATCACTCGCAGCCCGTCCTGCTCGAGAGCCTGTGTTCCACGATAGATGAAAAAAATTAGAAAAATGAGAAAAAGGGCAACACGGAGTGTGGCCAAACATTCAACAGCACACAGGAAGAAAACGATCATCCCCCCCTCCCCGGACCTGCGAGGAACTCCAGGCCGGGCACATGAATGCGCGGCGATTGCTTGCTTGCTTACGAGACCCGAAATGGCGAAGAAAGGGGGATCTGAGGTGGAGACGATTGCAAGAGATTGAGAAAAACACCGAATACGAATGAAAAAAAAAAAAAAAAAAAAAAAAAAAAAAATCTTCACCGATCCAGACTTTCGAGCCCCCCGTCCTGCCCCGGGACGGAACGTCGCGGGACGGGGAACCAGGACGATGGATCGGGTTCGCCCGTCCCCGTCCCAGTCCCCCTCCTTCCTTCCTTCCACTTCGAACCGCTGCAACAGGGGGTGGTGCATGGATGGATGGACGAATGGATGGATGTATATATGAGCTTAACAACGAATGAAGTTAATTCGTTAGTTTGTTTGTTCGTTCGTTCGTTAGTGTGGTTTGAAATAAAATTATTATTTAGAAGGGTGGTGGTCCACGCCACGACAGCTCCTTTCTATTTGGATGAGACGCATTCGTTTTTTCCTTTTTCATCCCCGTTGTGATCTCTTGCTTAAGATTCGAGTTCTTCCGCCATATTATCAAATCACGTTTCAGTGGAAGGGAACTTTATAAAATCATATTCAATTTTTTTCTTTTTTGCATCCTCCCCAGTTATGAATGACTTGTCTCTGTTGTAAATTTAACTATGTCACCCATCAATTGGTTCAAAGTCGCCTCTTTTAGTTAATGTATTTAAGGTTTTCAGCCTTTTTTGATTAATTGAACATTAAAATTTTAAGTCTTACGGACATTAAATTTGAAGTGGGTTACTTTTCACATCTTATTAGATCTAAATATGTACTACTTAAAATTGTATTTTTGGGAGCTTATTTTTCCATCAAAGCAGCATGTGAAAAGAAACTATTAGATACATGAGTTTAGAAATAACTAGCAAAAAATAATAATTAAGTTTGTTATTTGTGATCCTTACAGTAACCATACTTCATGGATATCATAGAAGTTGTAACACATCATGTATAATTGTATCGGCAGTACCTAAAATTGATTACTTTGATAGCTAATATTTATATGGTTGATATTGTATGATATAGTCAGTGTATGACATAGAATTATTAGTCAAACATGATGCCATAATTAACCTCATTTGAAACAATGAAGAAAACAAATTTTACACAACTGCATTCATTTTTGTTTAATTTGAATTTTTCATTCCAAATCTCTTTGGTGACAAAGTTTTCAAAATGTTCTTCTTTAAAAAAAAAAAAAAACATTTTTAATGAAAAAAAACACACACAAATGTAAGTTATTATTGACGGTTAAAATGTCCAACTTTACATTATGTTTTTGGTTTGGTAAAAAATATGTGAACTTTCCACTATCTATTTTATTAATTTGTTTTGTTCAAAGAAAAAGATTCTTTTAAAAAATCCTTAATCTGTTTTTCTATGGCATTATGGTGTTTCTAATTTAAAACAAAAAATGATTATTTTTGGACTGAAAATTTAAAATCAATCCCAAACTTACAAAAATTGCTATGTTAAATCATTAAATAGATCTCTACAGTTTGTTGAAAAGTAATAATAAATCAACATGACAATGATTGATACTTGGCATTTAAAGTTATCTGCTTTTCAAGTTAGTATTAATGAATTGTTGATGTAAAGTTTAAGATTAAATATGTTTTTGATTTTATTGAAGGAATATATGTATTACTGTGATTGAAAATTTTAAGGTTAGAACAAGAAAACTTGTTTATTGCAAGAAGTGTTTTGAAACACTTTAAAAATAATAATTAAATTTATAATAATATCAGATTATTATTAACTTAATGTAAAAATACCACTAAGTTATTTTCTTCACCACAAAAAAATTGTAAGATACTAGGATTCAACTCATTGAGTCAAATAATACTAGTATATTAAATTGTATAGTTTATAATATATTGTTGATTGTTTATATTGTTAAAAATGTTGCAATCGACATTTTTAGTTAGCTAATTTATCAATCTATGTATAGCAAGATTGTAAAAGATATCAATTGTATTTTTACATTTATAAACTTGAATAGCTTTTGCTCCTTTGTTAACACATAACTAATATTGTACAAAGTCTCTATTTGCATTTTCCTTTAATACTATTAACTTGGTGTAGTCTTATATTAGTTATAAGGCATTTTAATTTATTTTTCAATAAACAGACATAAGTAAGAGAAACTTAAACATGTATTAATAAATTGAATTCTTATTTTACGTCAAAGAACAAACAACATTTAATAGAAGTATTATCTTTAGAATTTTTCTTTTTCTATCAAATGGCTTGATATTACCAATAATATTACATAGAAATCTATCCATAACCTTAAAGACTAATTTATTAGACATTTGTATTATGACTCAAATAAAAATCTTAGCATCTTTGAGAAATATTTTTTTATTTAGATTTCTTTTCGAAGTAAAAAATTATTTTATTATTTAAAATAAGTATAAAAATTAAAATAGAAAGAATAATTTTTCTAATTAATAGAGTTGCAATGCTAAAAGAAACAATTATAATGGCAATTTGTATTTTCTTCATAACTTGTGAATAAATATTGAACCTCCTTTGATCTTGAAATGTTTTAATTAATCAATATTTTCATTGACTAAAACTTAATTTTAATTGTGTTTATAATTTCTTGCAAATTTTTTAGCTTAATATTGCAACTAATATATTGTTAGTAGTATAATTTAACATTCATGATAATTTAGAAATTAAAGACCATGCTTGGTATTCTTCCAAAAATACAAATATCTCCTTGGACATTGTAGCTCTCTAATAAGTACTCAAAATCCAAAAGCTTTATTGCAAGATTGTTGTTAGATTGTAGCTTTGTCTAAATACACAATATCTTCCATATACATAACATGTTCTTTTAATTACAAGTAAAGAGGCACATTTTATATCATCTTTGGGACCCAAAAAAATAATATTATTTTTAAAGAGTTAGTCTATTTTAATTTTGTAAAGTTAATAGTGGTCAATAAGTTGTGTAGAAAGATCAAAATCATAACATAAAAATATAGAAGTATCATATAATTTATAATAACTTTAGCTGCTCTTACAAAATTCTATTGTTTTTAGATACAACGTTGGCTACAATAAAATTGTAATCATATTAAAATGATCTTTGCTAAATAAAATTAAGGATTCAATTGATACCTCTTTTGCCAATTTATTTTACTCTTATCAATGGCTTCAAGTTATAATTACAAATAGAAATGTCCTCACAATAAAAAAGAGGATGTCCATCTAGCAGTAACTTTATTTAAATATAAAGATATGTATTTATATGTATATATATATATATATATATATATATAGATTAAATATCTGTTGCATTAATTGGTTGGGCATGACAATTCCAAGAGCAAGAATATTCAGATATTATATAATAGTTTCTATTTGAATCATGGGAGCCTTTATACATAAAAGCCCATTTCAAAAGGTTATGGTACAAAATCTTTCCAATAATTTCTTGTTTGGTGAACAAAAACTATCTTTTAGAAGCCTTGGCTTTTGGAGAAGATGTTATAAAGTAAAAAAATATTTCTTTTATCATAATTCAATAATTATTCAAAAATTATCACAATTTCGTAATATTTTTGTGTTTTTACACTACAACATGTTGTTATTTTTTTGTGGCATTTAAACTTTAAATCTTCAGAATAACTTTTGTTGTTACATAAAAAATAATTACCTCAATCAGTTTTAAATTTGAAAATGAATATATCTTTAAAATATAAAAATAAAATAAAACATAGGAATTCTTTTACAAACTAAATGTGGATTCTTGGGTGTATGTTCCAATATTACAGACTTCCAATATGATACTATGTCTTATTTTTCAATTCAAAACTACATTGAGCTCTCTATATATCAAATTTAACAATTTTATTGCATAAATCAGAGTGAATGAAATTCTTGGTCAGCCTTTCCTAAAACGTAATGTTTTATCCTTCAGAAAAACACAATTTTAAAAAATAATTGTATTGAAACAAATACGTTTTAAAAGTGAAAATGTATATGATGATAATAATTTTTTCTTATTTTAGAATTTCTTATTTTTCTTACTTTAGACTTTCACACATTAAGAAAAGAAATCTACAACATTCTATAAGAAAATGAAATAAAAAGCACTGATAACTCTCTCACACACACATAGATAGAGTCAGACAGGCAGACAGACATAGAAACAAGATGGCTCACACATTTCCAGTGCGTTGCACTGTCGTTGTTGTTGCTGATGCTCTAAGCTTTGCTGTATGATTTGCATCTTCACCTTTGCTCCATGGCGACTACAGTCTTGCTGTTGAAACTAGCATGCATTCGCAAGCACCAGCAAGAATATGCGTGTGAAGCAGCGGAGGTTTAGTTGGCATCGTGATTGCAGACCTGGCTTCCTTGGTTTCAGCCAATTGTTTGTCAGCAACGTGCAATGGCAATGTGGGGGCGATGAGAGGAAAGGCATTCTGGTGTTTGCTGGGGTGAATATGCCAGGATTCTGGTGATTGTCCATGTCTCACTCACTTTCACGCTTCTTCATGGGTACCCAATTGTGGTAGTCGTTTGGTTTTCGTTTTCGAAACCCAGACACGTTCTCATGCACCGCATACTGCATGCCACTCGTGAAATTGCGGAAATTGGTTTTCACGTTTCTGAGTTGTTGAAGAAGCACGTTGGCAGTGCTCTCAAATTGCTGCAGGTAGCCTGGCCGTAAGTTATTCCTGTTGGGATCTGCCACAATCGAACTGTCATTTTGTTTTTGTTTTTGTTTTTGGTATTTTTTGTTTGTTGCTATTCCTCACAGTACACCGGAGCGATCCTGAATGGTGGGGTTTTTCTCATTCGGGCTTGTTGTATCCATACGTACTTTTCCTTGTTTCCCTTCTTCTTGCTCGGGTTTGCTGTTACCGAAGCTGCTTCCCAAGCCCTGAATCCGCAACTTTTCGTTGCAGAAGTACAGTTGTAACCTTTTGTACTAATGATCTTGTATCAACGAGCGCTGTTGTTGTATTGCAGGTGCCGCCGAGGTTGCGTTGCAACGATTTCTGATGCAGGGACCGGAACATGAGCACAAGGCTGGATCACTTCGTAAAAGGGGCACATTTTGATTACTTCATGTGTGAATGCAGAGCCCTTCTTTCCGCAGGTAATCAATTGCCTCTCTATATATGTGTCGCTGTGTTGGGATTGGAAGTTGAAACATATAGTACTCAAAGATCTTGAAGTGTAGTCTTATAATCTACATTCATGTGAAATTAATAATCGTTAGAGAATTTGACGTGGATGCTGTCTATGAAGGCTTGTCTTTCTTTTGCATGCTTTTCTTTCTTACGGGGGGGGGGGGGGGGATGTGTTGGGGTTGCTGCAGAACTATGTACTGCAGTGCGACAACACTGTGAAGGGAATGTATGTATATTCACATAATCCAGGTGAGATTTTGAACATTTCATTGTTAAAGGTGACTTTTGACATTTGACATTGTCACCTTTTCTAACGCAGATGAAAAGCAGGATTCGACATTCAAATCACATAAATGTAGGGATTGCAAGACAAGTCGCAATGCTGTAATTCATACGAGTGTTGTGTCACATGCTCTGGTTAGATCTTTTGTGGTTCGGAACGTCCTTTGGGCTTAAGATTCAGATGGATCTTTAAGTTGCAGTGAAGACGAAAATTGCACGACATGCAACTGCACGTGAGTTTTGTTTTGTTTTGTTTTTTTTTTTTATGATAATATCCGGCTAGCTTTGTATTATCTTCACCCTTCAGCCGCTCTCAACAGGACATGTATTGACTTGGTATATGCATTGTGATGTGCTTAGTTTGTGCAACAGTTCTGTAGGTCGCTGTTGCTATAATGCTGAGTGTAGTACAATCCATGAATCACTTCGATGCTCATTTTATATGGCAAGGGAAGTATGGATGTTTTCTGCTAATTAATGCTCATGATTCGGATTCACAACAATGCTTAAGTGATTAAAGAACAGCACTGCCTTCAAGAAAGATCTGCTCTACCGGGTTTGAGTATGTGATTCATGCTACATATTCATTCAACATTCTGTAGCAGTTAAAGCAGAACTGGTTCTGGAATTCCTATTTGAAAATCTCCTTGAAGTTTGACTGCAAGTGACGCAGTGAACTGCCGGATGTTTGAATCATTGACGACAGGTACATGTTTACATTCTCCAACCCTGGCGTCTATATCTGTATTCCCTTGGTATTCGTTTGTTATCAAGACATCATAAGACCTCCTCACATGTGTTGGTTCAACTCCACAATCCTTACCTTTTTGGTATAGATTCAAGTTGACAATCACGGGTTTCATACTTCAGATCCAGTTGCCCATGAAACAGGCAACCAAATGCACTGTTCTGATAGTTGTGAAGAGTACAAGGATTTCTGTCACTGGACGGATTCAACTGTCTATTATGCAGGTAAGGATCATCTTGGGACAGGATCTGCTTTACGTGGACTCTCTTGGAGATGAAACTTACATCTCTTTCTAAATCTGCAAAACAAGCTTCTAGATTGAAGTTGAAAATACACAAAACATGAACTGTGCGTTTTACTGCAGAAGGAATTTGGGTTGAAGATGGATTGTTTTGTACTCTAACCTCCAGAGAGTGCTGAAACGCACTTCAAATGGAGTTCAACACCTCTGATGTTGTATCTCATCATTGCACTGATTTGCAATAGTTGTGCATTATGAATATTGTAGGAAGGAATATTCGTTCCTACAATATGTGCATTATGAATATTGTCGTTCACTAAGAAGAATTCTTTTTTCGTTCTTTTTGCAATTCGCCACTATTTTCGCACTTAATGAATCTGCATTTCAACTTAATCGTCTTCTTATTGAAGTTGGCATCAACAGAAGCACCATGGATTGCTATTTTTACTGTTATCTATTTCACATTAGAACGAAGATATCGTTGCAATGAATTCGCGCATCAATACACGTATTGTGACATTGAATAGTACCAACATGAGCACTTTATCAGAATATAAAAAGAGTAAAGTGCTGTATTTTGCCAGCTTTGGCTCAGATCAAGTAAGAGAGTTTGTCAGTGGGGTACCCAAGCAGATGGCATTCTTCTCTTATTTGTCTGTCACATTCTGTAAATCCAAGCTAGTTCTACTCACAGAAAAAATCGAACATTTTTTAAATATATATTTGCAATCTCAAGGCACATGCGTGTACAGAAGTTGAGCTAGCTAACAAAGGTTTGTGACTACGGTTATTATCCTTTAACTAATCAGCTCATTCTTGTGCTTGGTCAATGGTGGGTGCGTCTTCCGCTCTGCACTTTGGACAAACTGCACCTTTCTGCACTGCCTGCTAGCGTACAAGCGAATTGTGATTTTGTAGCAACTTTCGAGTTTATGTTGTTGTACCCAACTTCGTTTTATGTCACCGTGTGCCTTCATGTAGGAGATAGACATAGTCATAGGGGACATCGCTACAGTCTAAAGTCTATCATCACCAAGAAGACCTGAATGCCACTCTGAGCATGAAATCAAATGAAGGGGAGTTCGTCCCAGCACACCTTCATTAACTGTGAGGGATGTTCTTCGACAATTGATAACAGAAATCACATATCAGGTAGCTAGATCCACTAGATGATGTACAACTTGCTGAGTATCTGTGCAGTCTCCGCATGGTATTATTCACATGATTGGGTTCAGCTGTGAATATATGTGTGGAATCCGGACCTAGTAGTCATGAGCGAAGTCGCTAAAATTTTCCCGGTGATGAAATAGATTCATCCAATCCATGATAAACTTACCCCAACTTGAACTGGTGAATCATAAGTTTGATACTAATCTTCCTTTGTTTCGAGGAGGTAAGACCCATCATGTTATCCTTCTGTTTGCAATGTAAACTGTGCAAATACGTTGGTTTTCTTTTTAACTCACAGACGTGGCACCAGCGTCCGAACATCAACCCGCCTCGTATTTCGTTTTACTGAAATTACTCCCCTCTTCAACAATTGAAAACAGAGCGCAATTGGTTCCCAGTGGCGTCGACGTTTGCAAGCAGAAACATTTTTGAACACGACCAATCCTCACAACACCCCACAATTCACTGCATCAAGCACTGAATCCTGAAGTCCCTGCTCAGTAAGACAACCATTATCTTTTCAATCACGAGGTTAAAAAACACTCACTGTAGGCAGGCCTGGAACTTACAACAGTGACAAAACTATGTAGGTACCTCACAATGGGTACATGCCTAACGACTATGGCCGGTTTCACACCAAAGAAGATGCAGGCTGAATCAGTTCACAAAGGTCCTTGCTCAGCTTTGGAGGAGTGGCAGAGGCAGATCAGGTCAAACCACTGAAGCTTTTGGTCCGTGCTCTGTGTTCTCAAGCTAGTCCCACTATTTGCTGGGTCCTTGTCCCGGTCAACCTCTCTTTTGTATTCAGTTGGTCCCACTTTTGGACAATCTTACAGCATCCCTATGGCTGCAATCTCATTGTGATCACTGATGCGTTGTGAAAGTGGATAACAATGTGATTGGTGGCCGGGGAAGGTCTTCGAAGATACCTGTATTTGGTGCAAGCTTTTCACTGCAACCGTCAGTTTCTGTTGTGCCATGAACTCAGGGTCGTTTAGGTTATACAAACATGGCATTCTTTTTTATGATCTCGTGTACTTGTTGCCCTGGACGTTTCGCAAATTAAATGCTCATTGCAGTAGTATTTTCTCGCAGGCACAGTTCATTGAAGAAGCGAAATAGGTGCGGGCTCCTGCTGAACTCTAGAACGGTCTGATGAGTCGCAGAGCTTGCATGTGAGATTGAAGCCTCTACGTGCATGGTTCTAGTTATCTGATACCTTGGTTGCAGGCTGATCCTCTTTGTGAGCTCTGATCCTCCGTCGATCATGTTCAAACTCAAGTTTATTTCATCAAAGTCTGTCGTTCTAACTGACTACACTCATAATACAGCATCGAGATGCCACATTGAATGGAAAGTTCCTCTCGCAGCATGCTACCATGTTGAACAGTAAGTAGGCCATTATTTACACCTCGTGATCTCAGTGTGGTTCCACTGATGAAGAAATCAGTAATTAATTGATTTTATGTTTGTTATATATGTATGTAAATGTATATATATATATATATATATATATGTAGTCCTTCTTGCCAATACCATGCAGTCATGGAGAAGGCTAAGAACAAGATAATTGAGGGTGATGTTGCAGAGTGCTTGAAAGAAGATCTCAGCATACAAGCACAAGATCAAGCATAAGATTCTCGCAGCTTATTCTTGTATTTTCCCCTTCGATACTAATTTAATTTTTAATTTTTTTATTTTCTGCATTGCTCTCTTGAATCTTCCTCTGTATCAATGCAATACTGTTACACTGTTACTGAATATTGCGAAATTGTGGCTGCCCATAATGTTTAGATTTATTCTATGCGTTTGCCAACTCGAATGTCTCTGAGTTTATTCACAATTGGCATTGAGTAAAATGGGCATGAATCTTGAAAAAGAAAACTACTTCGCTTTAAAGTATAATATGATGAACTATTATAAAAAATAATAATTGAAGAACTAAAAAACTAAAAATTCAGGTTTCACTTCCACTAATCTAGTTCTTTACATAACCTCAAATTTATGATCGTAAATATGAATTTTCAGGCAAAATTCTAATCCTTTTGAATCTTCAAAAATTTTGCAATTTTAAAATCATACCAATAAACAGAAAACTCTTAATTTATTTGATTATTTATTTTCTTGTATTCCTTTGTTAGTCGGTTGCAATTACCACGAAGCAGTCTCAGTTAAAAAATAAAAAATAAAAATAAAAAATAAACGGTTCACACCAGAGTTTGAAACCTGGCTTTTCGGCGGATGAAGAAAGTAAATACAAATTGTAGAAGACACATACTGATTATAAAAAATATCCTCAGTACGAACGTTTATTTTCACTTTTGGGACAGTGTAAAAATCTGGTATTCAGTTCACATGTAGAAATAGTAACAAGAGAATGACATGGTTCGGGCACTCTAGCTACCTGGTATTTCTATAAGCTTCACATGATTAAGCGATGAGACTGTGCAGTGAAGCAATGAATGACACGCATTTTAAACTTCTATTCATTTTTGTACTGAAGCTTTATGGCGTAGCCACTCAAAGAAAGGCTACAGACACCTGAAGATCCTCTTTAACTTCAAACTAAAGTTGTCGACGCATTGAGCATGGGGCCCCTCCTTCAAAACTCCAGCCAATTCAAATCACAACCAACACACACGAATCGTTTGTATCATATGTTGCTTTAGAATCCTCATTTATCATCCAGAATTTAGAATGAAATGCAACATTCCAAAGGACATTGAATGATTGGTGTAGAATTTTATTGCATGTGATACACGGGTTGTACTGCAAAAGTGAAGCCTGGTCCTTCCATATCAAGTCATTCAGCATCATAGCATGTGTTGGTGATTGCCTGAGAGAATACAATACAAGCATCCCTGTGCCATTTACATTAAGATCTGAGCTTGTATCACTGAAACTCCGAATTCCATTTGCATGTTCTAGCTGCTCATAAATGCTTGATTGTCTTGCAAGCTCCGATTCTCCAGCGCTTGATGGTCTACACAATTTACGTATTCAAACTCGTTCTATGCAAATCATAAGTAAAATCATCCGAAAGGCTCAAATACTCAAGCCAGATATGTTGGCCATAGGTAGTGATAAAAGCGCACAAAAAGACATGTTTTTGATGTTCATCGTAGTATTGCAACCTTCGATGTAGCAGTAGTTTTAGTTCACAAAAATATAATGCTTGCAAAATGATTGAAAACATTTACTTTGTTTGGCATGACAAAAGTGAACCTGGAGGTAAACCCAATGGTTACATTAATTACATGCCACAGACGTAAACATGATTGTTGGAGAGCGCACAGTAAAATTCTACCAACACCAACTAGCTTTCCACTGGAGGATTACCATACGAAATCAGTACAAAGACAGGACATCGGGGACGATACCTATCGACGAGCTCCCCAAAAGCTGACATAAACGGTTATGTGGCGCAACAAGGGATGGTGTAAGAGTCCCGACAAACCAAGGATCACTGAACCAGCTGTTCGAAAAGATTCAACAGATCTGCTCATTCTTACTCTTCCCCTTCACCTCCATGGTACCTGACCCCCTACGGATCCCCGTTTGTCGCTTCAGTACTTCCCTGCAAAGCCATTGCCAATCAATCGCACCGGGCCTAATATGGCGATCAGCTTGTCCTCAGACTACAACACTCAGCGTACTCGAGACTAGAGGGGTTACCCACCTTTACGGCGTCGCTGTACCTCCATATTAATTGCTAGGCCTCTGGTCTAGTACTGGGATCGAAAGCAACGTCGCCTGCACTACGATATTGTCAAATTCCTTTCACTGTTGTGCAACGATATCACCGCAATGCAAACCCCCTCAGTGGAGAAAGATTGGTTGCAATGATGTAATGTCAACAATACTGACTTGTTCAAGCAAAGGAATAATTCAACGCATCCGCTGTGGTTTGATCGAAAAGAATGGTATCAACTTCCCATACCAGGCTATTCAATTAACTTTGGTTTTTGCAACTAAGTCTTGAGTATCGTGCTCCAGTTCAACCCTGGGCACGAACAACAACTAATTTGGGGATGAACACAGCAGAGATTAAGAACTCCTGAAAGACCTTACCTGTTCCCCACCTCCTGTTGACGGTTTATCATACAAGGGGACCTTTCAATCTACGGGTAGAAACTTGGCATTTCCTGATATTATCTGTGGTCTGACAAGAGGTTGGCGACAGTAGGACTGTGACTTAACAAGGGTTGATTACGAGTCGACCTTCGTAGCAGCATGCATTTGATGCAACTCTGGTCGGTTCATGATGAACCGCGGATTCAAAAGCCATCTATCACTAGTTAGCTCCATTATATAGCAATAAGACCTATATGGAGCCGATAGACAGGTCTAGCCTGCTGGGGCTGCTCTACTAGAGTCTTTATTTAGAGATTCGAAAGCAAGCATAGTAAAGATAGATGTGCGGTATCACTATACTGCTACGAGAAATCTGACACCGAAGGAGGATAGGACATGGCAGGGGGTATACTAGGATTATCGAATCCCCACCCCAGTTTGAAAATGAATTAGCTGAAGGGGTAGACAAGTTTGCTTTGATTGATGTGGATGTTCGACTTCAATTAATGTAGGCTGTGTGTCTGCTTGTGTCCGCTACCCAACTCTGGTGGTGTGCCAGGAATTGACCTTACCCACCTATTCACCTTAAATGACCATTCAATCTGGAAATCAGCTGGAGGTTTATAGCAAGATATTCGTTGAAGAAACAAGTTCCCTATTGCTGAAAATGAAATTCCTAGACGATACCACTACTTCATGTTATGCCACATCTAGATAAATTTTGGTGCAGTTCCGCAAAGTTCTAGAAAACTGCCAGTTTAATGTAAATTTTCTTCAATGTGGAACTGCTCTGATGAAGATTTATGATAGGTGTTCTTTGTTGATACCGCAAGCAAGTGAAAACCAGTCTTTTGTTGTTAAGGGTATTTTGAGATCCTTACGAAGTACGACATTTGGCTCCTGGCCCTCGACTCCACAGCACTTGATAGTTGCTAATCTTGAGATGCACTCTGACTACATGGCTTACACTTCAAAGCGCAGCGGCAGTCACCAGGCAAAGCCATGAAATTTGTTTCAGACACTTAGAGCACATGGATTTCAACGATTGCTGGATCTGATGAAGTAGTGTCTGTCAATAACTTAACTTAAAATTGTTTTGAACAATTTCAAGACCAGCCCTGAAGTTCCAACGTATCATCTAATGTAAACACGCCGCGGTAGATGAAATATGAGCTCGCTCGCACTCCCCGAGGTTACTTCCGTGCGGCTTATTAGACCTGCAAAACATTCTCACTTGCTGCTGCCATCTCAATGTCCCACTGTCTCCCTGGGCCCCTCTGCGCTAACTATATTTGATGATCGCAACCTCTACCACCGTCTTGTGTTTGTTACAGCGTAGTGGATGATCTTTGCTGCCAATACCATTAAACTTTCTTTCTCTTTACGAATCCCTGCAACTGCTCTCAAAATTTGATTCTATTCAATATTATGCATTCGCCGTCAATTGTCGATCTCTGTTCAAGTGGTTTCGACACGTAGTGTCTCTTCGGAATGAGACGGACGACATCTCTTGGTTGAAATCGACAATTCACAGGAAAAGTCGACGTGGTGTTGAGTTGTGTTGGTCCTTGGGTAAAGTTCCCAAGGCGGATTGTCCCCACGGTTGCTTGGCGAATTGGAAAATTCAAACTAGCGTTGTTTTAAGGCATGAAGAGCCGATTCCCGCATTTGCATCTCCAAACCTCGGGGTAGTATTCCTGCTGCGTTAATGCGCCGTGAGGACTGCTGATTGACACATGAATTGGGTTGCAAGGGATGCAGGAGCCGCATTTGCCTTGGCAGGTGGGCGGACTCGAACCAACCAACAAACTGTGACAATATATGGAATCTTCTCTACCGACTGCCTTATTCATTCCCTGAAGGATTTTTCTGTGAGGCGGTGGGCTTCTGTCCTGCATTACGTACTGATCACAATTAGCTTTATCAAGCTGAACTTGGAGATTCATTCACCGTAGCGGAAGTACATGAATACTCGTTCAAGAAACTACATAACAAGTTCAATGCAGGGATTCTGAGGTTGTGAATGATTCCTCAGTAATGCTAAGAATTACTCGAAATTTTACTCATCGACACGATTAAAGTATGAAGAATCAATGTTTCACCTGTATCTGTGTGTCATCTTCAACGGTTCCTCTTAACACTTCTCTCTTAGCCCCAGCTACCTGAACTCCAGGAGTCTGTGTTGAGGCGCTTGCGGGTGGTCCGGCTGAAAATATATAATATCAAAGAGGGCGTTGTGAGAGCTAGAAATTCCGGCGGTGCAGCTATTTCAAATGAGTACTTTCTCAACGAAATCTTAACTCGATTTAGAACAAAAGGATACAAGAGTCGAAGAGATTTAGCAATATTACGGTCCACTGATAGGTGTGGATTTTAGTTACCAGGTAAATGTGGAACAGAAATCGCTCGCAAAGGGAACATGCCGAGTAGTAGTAGAGCCAAACAGGCGACAATTGCAATGCTTGACATCTCATTGAAGTCTTCCCTCTGTTTCTGTGTCTTTTGTTTGGCACCTCTCCTCGTCGGTAGTTTAGAAGTTGTAATGTCGAACTCGAAGCACAATCTCAGGCAATGCTTTTCAATTTTAGTGTCATGCCTACGTTAATTACCCGCGAGTCGGCCAATGACACTGATCAGAGTGGTCTTTGCCTTACAAAGAATCAAAGCTTGGTCACATTTTTCAACTTCTTGCGCTGACAATAATATCGTGAAGCTGAATGTCATGGTGCAAGAGTGCTACTCGCTCGCAAGCTTACACCTCCTTTAAAACTTGACTGACCAGGTCTGCATTGCTCTCCCGAGATACCGGTTCCTGAGCCCATAAGCACACCTCCAAGCTCCTCACTGAACGGGACTTTGGGCGAAATAGACCCTAGCTCAAGAACGGATTCAAGAGGATATATCCCTCAGAGCCGGTGTCATCTGGAGCATCGAACACGAAAATATCGATTCAGCAGTTTCAGTGGAAGATTTCAGAGCTGCACCGTCACACTTGCCAATATTCTGAAGATGCATGCACTATTAGTACTATTCCCTCTACGCCGAATTAGCTGGTCCGGCTCCCATGAAGATCCTCATCTCATTGTTTGCCACTGATAGTACTATACTTGCATCATTCCCTCCCATGCACGAGCAGATTGACAGTATACAACCCACTCGTTGCAACACCACCACCACCACCATCTCCAAATCCCCGACCAGAATCTTCCTGTCCTAACTGCACTTGATACTGAATATGGTTACCGTTTCGCTTCTACTCTAGATTGTCCCCACTAAACCCTCTCAACGCCTCCCCCACCTTCACCTGCTCCACCGTCCCTAGCTAGCCTGTCTGTCTGTACCTCATACACTCTTCTCACACTCCGGTACCCAGCTCTCCTTTAGGCTCCGGCCTGGACAACTATTGCATCAGCCTCACATACAGCTTCAGCTCCAAATTCTAGGAAACATGAAACTCTCTCTCTCTTACCCTTCATGAGCTCTGAGCAGAGAGTTTCAGGTTTATACGTGTACCAACATTAATGTGACTTCTCTCTGACGCCCCACATTTCATCCCTGGGGCCTTGTTGTTTAAACCTCTGAACCTTGCAGTTAATCCTCGCGTCTGTCACTTCCGCGGATCCACACTCTTACACACTTACAATCCCTCCCTTTGCATCACTTTTTTGGGCTTACTGTCTCAGTTACAGACAACTCAAGCCTTACAGTGCGTTGAAGCTGATGGATGGATGGGGAGGGCTCAAGTCGTATCTCACTTGAGTGCTGGATTGAAGGGAGCCAAAGGTATCCTTGGTTTTACTTGCCCTGCTGCAGGGAGACCAATATATTTGAGTCCCAGAAACAATTTTTTTTTTTTTTTTTTTTTTTTTTTTCACAAGCCAATGTGTGATGTTCCTCATGAATCAATCTCTGGGCTATCCCCTCAAGATCGTATGAACGTGTTCATACAGTTCATGATCTTTTCCTACTGTAACTGACTTCAAATGCTTGAGGGCACTCATCCACTTGAGGCCTGGAAGTTGCTATAGTGCAGGGGTTTAGTAGTTAGAAAATAGTTCATCCGTCACAAAACAACCGGAATATTTTATTTTTTTTAGTTTTTGCAGCGAAACGGGGGTGAAATCCGACCAGTTGCTGCAGTGGGGTTTTAAGCGGAGGGCCATTACGATGAAGTCCTTGATGAGCAGCAGCAGCAACAGAGGCCGACCAGAAGGAGGGCACATGGCTGTCAATGGAGAGGTAGACAACTTCCATCAAATGCTAGCCAAGTTACCCTTTGAGGGGATTCCATGGGCCATGCTGCACGTCTTCGTCATCCAGTGAGATTTTGTGCATTTTCATCGTACTTCTCAGTCATGATAGAGATAATTAATCTTTTTTTTTAGTCTTTTTTACTGTTTCTTTTGACTATTTCCCCATGCAAGTAACACATCGCAGATGAATCACCATGCTGGTAGTGGCGTGGGAAGAAATTTTGTTGGGGATGTAGAAGGGCGGGGTCTGTTGCAAGCTTGAAATCCTTCAACATCAGCCAGGGACTCTGGGCCGCATCTGCGAGTTAATCGGCTGAGACACGTAGAGTTTCTCGGCGGATAGCGCACCTTCTTGTTTCCTGAGGAAGTTTAAAAACCTGCGGATGTTACCCCCTCTCGAAAAAAATTTGGAACTGTTTTGCACAGGCAATTTTAGTAGCGACGAGTACCGAATATTGACTAGGCAGAAACCCAGAGATGGTGAAACAACTGTGCTCTTTGAACTGTGGAAGAAACAGAATACTCAGAATAACAGTGAGAAAGAAATTTGCAGGAATTTAAGTTTCATGATTAATCGATACATAAACTACGGCTGAAGATTATGATTTTGTACTTTATTCCACCCTAGGGCATGTAGGAGACCACACAAGGTAGCAGGTGTGCTGTTGAGCTTCGCACTCTCCAAATCGAGCTTTCGTTCTTAACCCCAGTCTTTTCCGTATCTCTTTTTCCTCCTTTCTCACTTTCTTTTTATAGAATTTTCCAAACACTTGAGAATCACCATTCGGCAGGTGAGTGGACGCGGTATATAGAGCCAAATTTAACCTTCAATCTTTCCAGGTCTTAGTAAAATACACATATTGTACACAATTGTTAAGATATTGATGCAAGAATTGAAAGCTGGTCAAACCATTCAAAAAACAAGAACTGATCTTCTATTAAACAGTTAGAAGAGGAGATTCGAAATAAAATGAAATAGAAAGTTTCAAAACACCCCAAAAATAAAAATCAATAAATAAATGAGTTGGCGAGAGTAATATGTATAAAGAGACTTCTTTGATGAGCGACCAAGTAACCTGTTACGCTGCGAATAGGCAAAACTGTAGTGCCATAATCGTACCAATAAGTAAAACATACAAGAATGAATTTCATGACAAAATCCGCGTGATAGTGTCATCAATTAATTCCTCGACGTAGTGAAAGTGATGTTTATCTCCATCTGCTGTTTCCTGAGGAACCTGAGTTTTATAATGAATCATTACATCCATGGTGATCCATGTTCGATACACATTCAGGTGCAAAGGTTTACCTCCTGGCAGACTAAGGCATCACAAATTTGATAGACTGTCTTGATCCCGAATAAAGCCAAGCAGTGAACATTGACCTCATATGTTGATCATGCTTCACAACATTGTCATTGAATGATGTAGCAGACGTTTTGCTTCTCACTCACTTTTTACCTCCGAAGAGAGTCTTGAAGCTCCAACCTTCTGACTTCTCTTCAGCCTTATCAGCTTTGCTTTTCAAAGACATCTTGCCCAACATAGAATCAAGATCAAATGTTTCTCTTTCTGCAGTTTCTCCGAGTCCCTGGTTAATAACCATAGACTGCTGCTTGGTACCAGATTGTCCCGTAGCGTCGTCAAGGCCTCCTTCTCCTTTGGGTCCTGTAATAGCAACAATCTTTCTGTTACCAGCGAAAAAATTCAATGTTGAAGGTAGTACAAGATACGGAATGAACACGGTTGAGGGTCCACAAAGAATCTAACGGAACAAACAAGGAGGGTGGAAGCCATGTTCGACGTAACTTTCATTGCCCTGCTTAAGACCTGTAGTATCTTGAAATTGCAAACACTTCTACAATTCTAAAAAAAATTATTCATTCATTTCATCTATTTCATTTGAAAGATGGCCTGATCATACAGCACATGAATGTAGCTCGCAAACACTCTCCCCCATTTCATCCAGATGGAGACCAAGGAAAGCAGACGATGCTTCATTAAAACCGCGGCAATCCTAAATTTCAGACTGTCAATCCCCGTTAACTAGGGAAGCTAAGACACAGGCACTTGCATGTAGGCCTTTCAAGCAAAAGAAGAGGGCAGTGAGAGCTCATACCAATGGGATTCATCATGTGACCAATTTGACCATCCTTGTATTCATAAGCAGCAAGAGCAATTGGACCCGTAAGCAGAGGCCTTACCTGCACGAGCACATCAAAAGTCACATCAAAACCAACTTTCCTGACATGCTAGACAACTGAAAGGAAAATTGAAGAGTAAACTACAGAAGGAGATGAGTATGTCTGTGGGGAGATAACTTCCCAGAAAAGACGTAAAAACTGACAGTTTTTCTAAAGAGGAAATTCCTTGTCAAAGGATTGTTGCAGCAAGAAGAGGCAAGTTGAATGTTATCCAAATATATCAAGATATACCCAAACCCTACTTTAGAAAATCCTTTCGTCAGTCGTGCAAGAAGTCCCTACAAAACAATACACCTAGAGCGAATGTAAGCGAAATAAAATGAAGAACGTACATCCATCACAAATTTTGTGTGCTCCGGCGAGGCACGGAAGTCGTTCATGCAGGGAAAACTCTCATAAATCTCCCAAAAATGTAGAGTATTTTTGTCGAAGGCATCCACATTGCACTCAAAACCCTGCATCCCGGATTTCCTGTCCTGCTGAATCATCCACACACCCCTAAGATCAATAACCGAACGTTAAAAGTCCACCAATTCAGACAGAGCTTTCTTGTGGATCCATCCAAGTCCCAACGCTCAACGCAAACAAGTTCAAAATCCATGAAGTGGACCAGTGCTACGACCATTGCGCAAAACACAGAATCACAATACACCTACACGACATCGACGACCTTAAAAGTTGAGATTACGCATCAGCCACGGTTCAGACGTGTCCACCACCAAACCCAACGGCATCAGGGTAGAGGGGGAAGCTTTCTAATTACCATCTTCCCATGAGCCCAACTAACAATGCCCTTGCACAAAGCCGTGACCTCCTCCTCTTTCCCTTCCTCAAACTTCAAAGTGGAGCTCAACGCATAACTCCTCCCGGTAGAAATCCTCTTCGCGGCCTCGACCACTAACCCAACAGCCTTCTGCTTGGACCCCACCGCTCCAGTCTCCACGATAGCAAGCCTGGTTCCGAGGAATCCCTTTCTCTCTACCATCTTCTGTACACCTCCAGCTCTCGTGCCACTCCATCTCGTCCCCGCGCTTGCACTGCAACTCGATCCCAAGCTGGAACAGCTCCTCATCGACCCCGCACCATAGGCGCTTGTCTCAGCAGCCAACACTGCTCCAGCTTGACTGCAACAAGTCGCCATTTCTTCTTACTTCGCAACAACCCCAGCAACTCAAAATGGAACCAAACGCCAACGATTACAACACTTTTAACAACAAAAAAACGAGAGGTTTAGCACACCGGACGGAGAACAAATTGCAGCTGTGGAAAAACCCCTGGTCGTGGGTGTGCTCAACTCAACTCATCACCAAAATGTAGAGATCAAGCTTAGAATTCGATCAGGAAAAGGGGGATCGAGTGTGCAGTGCAGTTCAATCACGAGAGGTGTGTAGGGTTCGGCGATTCGGGGGCTTGCTCGGCCGAAAACACTATCCACAAAGCCACTTGCTTCACGCCAATGGGTGCTTGCCAAGTGGATTCGTAGATATTCGCCTTACCCTGCTCCAGAATATCTAAACTTTTCGCTTTTCGCTTTTATTTAAAGGAAAGTGCTTTATGTGGACAGATGAATGAATTGATGAATGAGTGATTGAATAGTGGGGGTGAATGTTTGGATGGATGATAGATCCTGTGACTTTAAAGTGCTACTTCTATGCACCAGGTGGGTTTCTTTGGGAGTTTGTTTTTGTGGTTTTAAGTGGGGTTTCATTGGGCTGGAGTGCTGGAATAGGTGCCCAGCTGGTACCTGATACTGGATGAACAGAAAATCCAAATATGTCTTTGTATGATAACATTTTAATATATTTTCATCTTTTAATCCTATCTAATCATATATATATAAGGACTTGTTAAAGCTACACCCTCCAAACCATGTTATGATTCATTTAGTCCTATCTCATTCCACCTCCTCACTTTGTCATCATCCTCCATGAGGAAACTTGTCATTTGTGCCAAACCTTCTCACCTACCAAAGACAACTCCATCTGGACTGCTTAAGAGTGAAGAGGGCTTGTTTGTTGAAACTAAATTTTGTTTTGCTTGTTGCTCTTGTGCTAATTGAATTGTCTATGTGTGTTTCCATTTTTACAAAAAGAAATAAATCTTCACTTTTTCAATTATTCAAGTAAGAACTATATCACTATAAATTTTACATTTAGTAATAATAGTGACAATGTTGGAGCTCTATGTTATGCTCCTATAAAGGTTTTGGCCGCCAATTGCAATATTTCTTTTTTACCTCACTTTGAGATTGTTAAAAATATATTAAGATAGGCTCTACTCAAGAAGTTACACCAAATTGATTGTCACACAAGTAAAGTTAAAGTAGAAAGTCGTTTGTTAAATCAATCATAGTAATGTAGAATGACTTATTGTTTAGATCTTTGTATGAAAAATCCAATGAAAATACAAATCTATAATTAGTTGTGATAAGACACTTAGAAGTTATAGATCCTTAATCAACAATTCAAGTAGGTTTTGAAGCTCTTGATATACAAGACAATCAATTACCAATTATTCTAGTAGAAGTGCTTATCTCAATTGTCTTAGAATTGTATCCAAATCAATAATGCAATCTACTAGTTTTTTTATATCTACATGCTCGCAAGAAGCAAAAAAATATAAAGAAGTTCTTTCTAAACATGTACACTTATATATAAGCATTTTTACAAAATCTAGCAAACATAAAGGCTATATAACTCAATTTATTTATGCAAATAAACTTAATTTGAAGATAAGAAGATTGAATTTGTAATTAAAGAAATTAGATTAATTATAAGATAACATTGATATTGGATATATATTGAAGTATCTACTATAAATAGATAAAAAATTATATAGGCTTTATATCACCAAAAACTAGATTGATCAAAATAAAGAAAGTCATCACTAAATAAAAAAATACATTCAAAAGTCCCCTCTTACAAAATATTAACATGAAAACCATATTTATATTTAGAATCTATGAAAATCACACAAGCAATTAAATATACTAGATGTTGTAGAATTTTTTCAAAAAACTTAATCACGTTAAACAAGACTTTGCTTTATGATTGGAGGATCCATCCATTATATCAATTGAATATGAAATCTACCAATAAAAAATTCCATTTGCTATATTAATAATTTGACAAGATTTCATACTTTAAAGATTTACTTCAGCAATAATAAAGATACTTAATAAAAAAGATTACATACAAAAACTTCTATATAAGATTGGCTCACTATTAATATAAAAAATAAAGCAGAATGTGATCGACTATGCAATACAATAGCACCATTATAAAAAATATTAGGACAAGGTAAAAATCATAAACCATATTAGAAGGAAATGATTTAAAATACACATAGAAATTTGAGAGTCAAAAAAAAAAAAAAAAAAAAAAAAAAACCATCATATAACTAAGTATGGAGCCATTGATTGACTAGACACCAACAAAGAACTGACATTAAGTTAAGATTGATTCATAATAATTACTAATTTAGAGCCACTTTTCAATAATTATAATGCTCCAACTTAATCATTTTCAATAATTAGGACTTTTGCAAGTTGGAATGTAAAGTTGCACAACCACAATCCTTGTATCTCAATGCTAAAACTAAGCTTCATGAAATAAAATTTATTTTTTAATGCTATGAATCTTGCTATGATCATACTACATAGAAGCATTTAAACCACAACTGGTATTATGGACATTCAATAAGAAAATTCTTAAAATATTCTAATAGAATGTTTTAAAGATTTTAAAAATATTTGAAAAGATTCTTAAAATATTCTAGTAAATTTTAAAAAATTCTAAGAAGATTAAGAAAGTTATCAAAGAAGCTTTTTAATATCTAATATGTATAAGAGTATCTTTAGTATCACAGACATACATATTTATCGTAATAATTATCTAGATAATAAGAATAGATAGAAGTAAGTCAAAGTAGATAATATCTTGTAAAAAGCTTCCTAGAAGCTTCATAGAAGTTGCTTTGCCTTTATACATATCTATAGGTGATTGATAAGTTGAAAACTTAGCCAACAAGGAAGTCACGTGTTGACATGTTGACCACTTGTAGTACAAGTTGGATATATGGTGCACACATAGGAAACTTGCCTTGTAAATTAGACATGTGTCCTACAAGTTGGACGCGTATTAGAGGTCATATAGCATGTTGCCACGTATTCTTTAGTTAAGTAGTATATATAGAGGTAAGAGTGAGGCCTTCTTCACTCTTATCAATTCCTTTCTTGCTTTTTAGTCTAGTTTCAAGAGTCTTATGTTTTATAGTCTTTGGCAATAGCCATTTTTGTTCTTCCTTGAATATATATACTTTCTTCTATTTTGTCGCTTTCCTTTTGATATAGATTCCATGACTTTATGCATCTTCTTTCAGTTTGTGTCCTTGACAAATTGATAGGAATGCACATATAATATTAGAGCTTTGTCTTTTCTTTATTAAGAATAGATTATTCCTTTCTACTTGACTTTTTTTCAAACATCAAAATCTCCTGTAAGAACTCCTATCTTATTTGTGAAGAAAAATGATGGATCATTGCAAATGTGCATGGATTATTGAGAATTCAATAAGATTATTATTAAGTATAGATATCCTCTGCCTTTGATATTTAAACTTTTTGATCAATTAAATCAAGCTAAGATCTATAAAAAAATAGATCTACAAAGAACATACAATCTGATCCGCATTAAAGAAGGAGATGAATGGAAGACTGTATTTTGAACAAAGTATGAATACTTTGAATATAACATCATGCCTTTTCGACTCACAAATACACCAACTTCTTTTCAACATCTTATAAATGATGTTTTTTGTGAGTTTTAAGATTATTTTATTGTCTATTATTTAGATGACATTATAATCTACTCTAAGGATGTAGAAGAATATGAAGTTCATATTTTTTGTGTGTTACAAAAACTTAGAGATGCGAGATTGTATGCTAAGATGAAAAAGTGTATATTCTACATTATTCAAGTTGACTTCTTAAGATACATCATTTCAAACAATGGTCTAATGATGGATCTTAAAATAGTTTACACAATTATAGACTAAAAGATTCCAAAAACAATAAGAGATTTATAATGCTTTTTGAGATTTGCTAATTACTATCGAATCTTTATGAAGAAATTTTTTCAAGTTGCACTGCCACTTACATGCTTAACTTATAAAGATAAGCTACAGTGGAATAAAGAAGCAAAAGCATCATTTGAAGTTTTGATGAAAGCTTTTATTTTTGCATCAATCCTACATTGCATCAACTTCTCTAAAGCATTTTTTATGGAAACAGATGCATCTGACTATGCCTTGCGTGCAATCTTATCACAAATAGGAGCAGATGGCAAACTTCATCCAATAGCTTTTCATTCAAAAAAAATTTCAGCACCCAAGATTAATTATGAAATCCACAACAAGAAACTTCTTGCAATCGTGGATTCTTTTCAAAAAATAGCATCATTATTTAGAAGGTGCTTAAAGTCCAGTCATTGTGTGTACAAATCATAAGAACCTCAAGTATTTTATATTAGCTACGAAGGACAAGAATATGATAAAAATAAATAAACAAGTAAGACTTCTCTCAAAAAAAGATGAAAAAATAGAAATAACTTGATATGTATATTAAGAAAGAAACTAGAATGGCTATTGCCAAAAGTCAAGACCCTTGAAACTAGACTGGAAGCAAAAAAAGAGTTGACAAGAGTGAAGAAAGCTTCACTCTTGTCTTTATATATACTATCTAACTAGGCACTTTGTGGCAATATTCTATAGGACCTCCAATATGTGTTGACTTTGTAGGATACATGTCTTGACTTACATGGCAAGTTTTTCTACGTGTGGGTCATATAGTTAGCTTGGTCTTCAAGCTAACAACTTTTGTGGCACATGACTAACTTGTTGACCACGTTTTTAATCCAAAAAATTAATTAAAGATACCTATAAAGTCAAAGCAATATCTATGAAGCTTCTAAGAAGCTACTATAACAAATATTATAGAATTAAATTATTTTTACCTACTTTTACTTACTTCTACTTATTTATACATGTAATTATTAGCTTACATGCATATGTCCGTGATATTACCTTCCCTTCTAGGGACGAGTTTCACAAGGAGCGGTCATCATATATTGAGGAAATATATGATACGACGAATTATATTTGCCACATACTCTGATCTTTGTTCTCTTCGAAGATGATTGATAGGGCCTCTCAACCATCCATAGTGTCCTATACTAGGGCGGGACGACCACCCAATTATTTGATCATTGTTGAGGCCTTCATAACTTCCTTCAAATAAAATATTTGGATCACCGTAAAAAATTATTCCTATTTCTAGTAAAATTACCAAACATTGGGAGTCCCTTCCAAGGTTGTGATACCAAACGCATTATATCTTGCGATCTATTTGAGGAAGAACATGTCATTCTTGAAGATCTTCA